TGTTGTTATACTGTGCTATGTTATAATGTGTTATGTTGTTATAATGTGCCATGTTGTTAATAATATAATGTTGTTATAATGTGCCATGTTGTTAATAATATAATAAAGTTTGTAATAGAACTCACTAGATCGTAATAGAATGCACTAGATTGCATTAGAAGGCACTAGATTGTAATAGAACGCACTAGATTGTAATAGAACACACTAGATCGCATTAGAAGGCACTAGATCGTAATAGAATGCACTAGATCGTAATAGAATGCACTAGATCGTAATAGAACGCACTAGATCGCATTAGAAGGCCCTAAATCGCCTTAAAACGCATTAGTATGCACTAAAATGCTCAAAACCAGATGAGGACGTATGTCGGGACGAGCCAGATCACCCAGATGCGGACATACGCCAAGACAAGCCAGATGCGGACGTACGGTACGTCGGGACAAGCCAGATCACCCAGATGCAGACGTACGTCGAGACAAGCCAGATGCGGATGTACAGTATGTCGGGACAAGCCAGATCACCCAGATGCAGATGTACATTGAGACAAGCCAGATGCGGACATACGCCAGGCATGTGCGCCAATAACGTCATTTTAGCTCTTTGTACGCCGCGTTGTACGCCAGTAGAAGGGCTTGGAGCCTCGTTTACGCCGGATTAATCCGCGGAAAACGGCACCATCCTGGGTATGGTGCTTTGCCACTATGGCCTTTACGTCACTCTCAAAACGCCACACTACGCGCCAGCAACAATGAAATGTCACAAACTGTTGCCATACTTAGCATACTATATATTTAAAAGCCTTTATAATTCAAATCTACAAAATCCATGAATTCCTATGCTGTGTGTGACTAAATTTGCCATATTGATATTGTGAGACTAATTCTGACAGCTCTTCAAACTCTTACTAATTCGTAATTCTGACGCCCTGTGTGAGGCGATGAGCTGAATAGTGACGAAGCAGAGAGTTTTTTAGACTCTCCCTCAGCCTCAAGTTCATTTTTGAGTCCCATAAGTATAACAGTAAAGTATCATGGATGCCAGCATTATCATACTTAAGAAATTGGTTTAAATCTTGAGTTATTGAGGAAATTGAAAATGAAATGATTCCAAAAAAGCTCTGGTTTGCCACTATGGTGCCACTGAGCTGTATCGGAATATGACACAGCTCAGAACCCAAGGTGCAGAGGGTGGAAGCAGCGTCGCCACTTGCCAATATATGGATTTTTAAGCCCAAAGCGTTGCCAACCATTTTCAAGATGCGTCGCTGGGTAATTTTTAAAGAAAAGCCATCCACGCTGAGTAATGAAAAACTATTTACAAGCCATGAACTTATTTACAAGGTTGCATGCACGTGTTACCCCAAATAAGTAATTACTAATTTTACCCTAAAAACTTTCAGATTGTACAGTAAGTGTCAACTGAACATGTGATAATGCAGTCTGACCGCTGTAATGTGACCGCAACTACGCAATCATAAACTTGTTTTTTACATTTTTTTGCAGGAACTCATCGCAACATATTTCTTATTTCCGGACAAGCTTCACTGCATCCTTGTCCATCCAACGTGCCGGAAGCCTTACTTTTTTTCTAAATAGTTGGCCAAAGACTGACAAATATATTAAGTGCAAAAATTTCAATCTATATGTGTTGGCAAGATCTTCTGAAGGCGTAAATTTTGATACTGAAGCGTCGCCAAAGATCTTGCAATATTCATCCACTCTCTGCACAGTGGCTCAGAACAAGCTTAATTAAAAATTTTAAGTTTTTAATTAAGCTTTTAACTAAGAGCTATTAACCTTATAATTGAGAAAATTTTAATTTTTGAACACAGCTCGGAACGAGCTATGTGTGTCTAATTCCAAGCTGTGTTGGAATTAGTTTTTGTGTCTAAAACCATCTCTTAACTTGATCATCTATTAATTTATTTACCACTTAAAATCAGCAAATACAAGTATACATGAAGGATTCCTAATATATTCAGACACTTATTAAAAAGTCTCAAACCATAATATTCTTTCTACACAAACAGTTTATCACTATTTGGTAGAGCAAGGTCAACCATCAACTTTGACATGTGTTTCGATGTTCTCACTAGTTGACTTGGACTTTCGCTGTGAGGATCTTAACATTTTCCTGCCAGACCTAGTGTTTTGTGGGAATCTGGTGCGCAATAGTATGACGTCACTATTTCAACCATATATGCATGCTTGGAACTAAGACAAAGCTTAATATACCATCAACTGGGCTACTCGGGACAGGTGGGGTAACTTGGGACAGTCCTCCGACACGGTGTATAACTGTTGTAGTAGCAAAACTAATTGGAATATTGCAAAACTTAATATAGTGGCGTAAATGTCAACATTTTTCCTATCTCTGCAGTATAAAGGAAGTTTGAAAATACTACATATACTAGCTTTGAAAAATTCATGAAAAAAATGGTGAAAAAGATATTTTGAAAAGTTTCTTCTGCTAAGGTCTGTAGTAAAAAAAATATTTGCCATATTAAAAAATTTTGCTTAGAAAAAAGTGGCAGACAAGTGTCAACATGACAACTTTATTTGCTTAATTTACATACCTCAATCCAAAAAAATGGCAGCCATTTCCGCATGGCGGGGCTACTCGGGACACCCCCCAGGGCTATTCGGGACACCCCCCAGGGCTATTCGGGACACCCCCCAGGGCTATTAGGGACACCCCCCAGGGCTATTAGGGACACCCCCAAAAACGCATTTACAGTAGAACTTCAGTTAGCAAAGGCTCCAGTAATGAAAAAAATTGGTTAAAAACAAAGAATATTGATTACATTTACCTCACTCAGCAAAAAAAATTTCGCTTATCAAAAAATGAGTGCATCATTGGTCATCACAAAATTGTGCATAGAATGTCATATATAGAATTGTGCACCAGGCATCATAGAATGTAAAGTAAATAAGTAATTGACCTAAACTATGATATGATGGTTGTCACTAAAACATTCCTTTCTGTTTCAGGTATGTTTTTCACGATCTTTTTTTATAGTAAATTCACTTAACCCAATTAAAATGGTGTGAAATTACAAGCCGTCCTGTAAGCTTTCAGATACACAAAAAATGCTATAGGGCTGCTGATATGAAGCTTGCAGTGGACAAGGTTGTTGTCAATACTCAATGGCATGTTCATGGATACAGTAATATCACATTAATAATATGGTAATTAATGAATATGATAATATAATATCAATAAAAGAAAAACAGGTAAAAATCGCAGAAAATGTCATTTATTTTACATCTACATAATCTACAATGAAAGAGAAGGACTTCAAAGTACTGTTAGTAATGTATGAGTACACTCTGCATGCTTCAAACGTTTTAAAGTTAACTTTTATTGCAAGTGTCCTGGATTACCCCATTCCCAGGGGTAAATCGGGATGGTTTTATTTTGCATCTGGCACCTTACAAATAGCATATGGAATTTTTTTGAAGATGCCATTGGATAGCCCTCACAAAGAGCTATAAAATGAGCCTAAACTTGTTTCTGAAATGTTTCTTGGTAAGAAGTTATTAACAAAACACTCTCAAAACCGTCCCTTTTTACCCCATTTGATGGTACCTGCTTAAATTAACTAAAATCAAGACCAGTCAGTCAATACAGTATTTTATATTATCCTGGTGTTTCAAACAATTATTGAAATAGGGAAACTAAGTTTTCTGAGACCTGAATATGCTAGTCTGGGATTGGGACTACAGTACCTGACATGAATTTTTTCCACTAGGAAATTGACAAAAACATTTCATGTTTTATGGATACCTTAGACCAGTGGTTCTCAAACTTTTGCTGGCTGGCACCCTCTTGGCTCCCCCAGTGAATTTCTAGTGCCCCCAGAGACACATGTGGAAACAAACACCTCTTTCTTGATATTTGGTATGGTGTTATTTGAAAAGAGACAGGTTAAACACAAATGTGTACCTATATCACAAAAAACTTAATTTAGCAAACCAATACTATATTTTTAGCAGTTTAAACCGTATCAGCACTAGAAACTTGAGAGAGGTTGAAAAAACCCAGATCTGGGATTAAAAATCACTTGCTGGGAGCTGTATGCTGCACATGTTGTGTACAAATCATCAAACCAATTCTTGAATTTCTGACTTCAACTTTGGACTGCCACCCCCTTCTTTCTCACTGCCCCCCAGATCTTTCCACCACCCCCAAAGGAGCAGTACTGGCCATTTTTAGGTACCACAGCTTTAGACAATTCTCTATTGATTCATTTGATTAAAAAAATAAACTTTTCCATTGCCTGAATGTGGCTGTCTAGGACTAGGCTGACCCAACACTAATTTGCTCAAATACAAAGACCAAAAACTAGATAAAAAAATAAACTTTTCCATTGCCTAAATGTGGCTGTCTAGGACTAGGCTGACCCAACACTAATTTGCTCAAATACAAAGACCAAAAACTAGTCAAAAGCATATTTTTAATTCTGGATGTTTTAGATCATTCTACATTGATTAAAATGGTAGAAAAGTTTACTTTTCTCCTCTGACCTGAACAGGCTTGTCTAAAAGAATCAAACCTGAAATGTATCATATCCAAGTAATTTGATGAAAATTTGGTCAAAATGTTGCAAGTTTTCTGAATGTTTTAGACAGTTCTCTATATTTTAATCAAAAATTGACTTATAGACTTACTTCAAGACTTGTTATTCTAGTTGGTATAAATAAGTTTCGAAAATTTGGTATTACAAAATTCTACTTTTCTTTGCATTTTATACAATATGTTATGGCCACCTTTTGTTATTCTCTGAATTTATCATTTGTTTGGTCTGCCAGATCAGACTGGGTCAAGTTTTTAGTCCTTTAATCTGGGTTCTGATAACCAATGTGGGTCTGGATTTTGCTCAGTACCATCATCAATATTGCCAGGCTGTAAATTTTTAGATAAAGTGGTGTATAATTTACTGTTTAATCAATTTTAATTTATTATTTATAATATTTAGTTTAATTTATAAAACTAATTGTTTTTGCTCATACATTTCAGAAATTAAACCAGGTGTTCAACTGTGTTCCTGTTTTTCCATCCACAACAATGCACAAGAACTTGTTATGTGCTGCTACATCCTCAGCAGCTTTAATTTCCAATGCCTTGGGCTCAGCCAGCTACAAAACTCTCCTGCAAGGTATTCAGTAATCACCCCACTTTATCTTGAAGACAAAATTTTATCGTGTGAAGAAAGTGAAAGAGTTGTTGTGACGAAGCTGGAAAGGGAGTCAAGCAATTGGTTGCTTGACAAAAATGTGTCTGTGACTAAAATTCCAGTACAAATTTTCTCTAGAATAAAGAGTGTTGTATTTTGAATAATCTGGTAAAGATAGATATAATCTACATTTTTTATGAATTTCCTCATGATATTCTGAATAGCAATATTCAAGACTTTGCACTCTTTATGCATCATTGTATAAGTCATAGTTTGGAAATAATGGGTTCTCCTTGTATATGTTGACAATTTTACCAAAAAATCATGTCCCTGGTAGAAAACCATCAGAAAAAAAACAATGGAATTTGAATTTTTATGTCCTGATATATTTTAATAAATAGTTGCTGTTATATTTTCATAAAAAGTTACTCTTCTTAGCATTCTGCTTAGGTTTTGTATTTAATACTATCATATGTCTGAGTAGCAATCAATCAACATTCATTCAATTACCTAACTCAGGTATGAGTGCCTTGTCACTACAACAGACGCGTGGTCTGCGTGATGACCTCAAGGCACGCGGAATTGAGTGGCGAGAGCCCAAAAAGTACAAGAAATATCACCCTGAGATTAGTGGCGACTTGGAAGCCTTCAAAGCTGCAGATATTTCTGGACCCACTCATAAAATGACTTATGCTCATGCAGAGTTTGAACAGTGAGTTCTGGTGTCCTCCAGAGATTGCATACCATCACCTCTAAGTGGGAAATGCAAATTGTCTTAAGATTTTAATTTGATCCTCTTTTTCAGCATGACCAAGTGTTTCATTATGAAGTAATATTTCAAGAATTCTCAAGTACCATAGGGCCAGTCATACTAAAATATTTTTTTGTAGATTAAAATTTTCTACGTTTAGTGGCTTATCGAGATGAAAGCATTCAATTTATATTTGCATAACCCTTTTTCAGGCAAGCATTTAAATATGAAGAAATGCAGAATACTGACACAATTAATTGGTTATATACAATTGTAAGATATATTTACACCAATGAATTTTAAAAAATTGCCCACAATTAAGGTGCGAATTGCTCTTGCAGAATCTATTAAATATGATAACTACCTACACTGAAAATGAAAATATAATAAAAATTCAAACATTCAATTGTAAAGAATAACTATCCAGCCTCAATTTAATTCAATTTGATCAAGTTACTTTCATAGATTGCATAGATATTGCCACTTTCATCTTATTAAAAAATGTAGGAAGTGCATAAATTCCATTATTCATGTCAAAACTTTCATTTAAATGCTAATATTTCCATTCTTGGCATGGTAGAGGATGATGGATTGAAGGTCAAATGATTGATGATTGGCAGAGGCAGGATAGCGTAGCTGTCAACACAACCTGTTGGCCGGAGGGAAATAGTAACCTGCCTGCTAATGGGTTAAATGTCAAACTATATTGCTTTCTTACTTTGTAAAGGTAGCTAAATTTAAGTTATTAATTGATCTAGAAATACTTTCAAATAACTATTATGCCTGCTAGTAGTTTGTTCATTTACCATCTTCTAGCTGATATATGTAACGAAATTCAAATTTCAGTATATGCATGTATGATACAAGTCCCTTACATTTCTTCTCTAGTAGCTTCAAGAAAGACCAGTGGTGGTTGTAATGCAATTGATATTCAATTTTATTTCAGTGTTTTTAATGTTTCAAAACATGATCAAGATCAATAAAGTGCTCTTCATATGTTGAATTCCAATTCTTCCTTCTTATTGTTTGAATATTTGTGTTTTTCTAGTGACTATCGAAATGTTATAATGTCATTTTATACACATGACTTGGCATCAAATTTTTATTTATATAGTTACATAGAGGCATATTATTGAAGTCAAGATCATGTGTACTTTTCTGCCACGCAATACTTAGTCTAATATGCATTTTTTCCTGAGATTACATAACTTGCCAGTATATTTCATGTGGTCGATGGAATGAAATTTATGTCAAATCATGGAACGAATAAATTACCGCTAACAGCTATGAATTAATTTAATGTACCTATGTCTGTTATTTCTGTAGGTCATCGCCTGAGGTTCAGAGACTCCTCTCCTTAGAATTTGCACACAATAATGAACTCATTAAAATGAGCAAGTTGGACATTCTTCGGGAGACGCAACGACATCAGTATGACAGTGGATCACTCGCGGCCAAAAGTAAGTGTTTGATTTCCCAAGTATATGGGAATTTTCGAAACCTGGTTCTGTTAAAGTTATAGTTTCTACTTATTAATTTCTACTCTTTCTAACCTTTAATTTGTTATCAGGTTGGTGTTTTGTTGAATTTCTATTGAGTTGAAAATCTTCTTGAGTATTTGATAAAGTGATGAAAAGTTATCAAGGAGATATTTATTACTGCGGAATGAGTGCATAATTCTGTGCCATATTCTAATAGCATGCTTGTATTATGTGCAGTTACCAACCTGACTGTGAGCATCAGGTACCACCAGACAGAGAAAGGATATGAGAAACTTTTGCGATATTCTGAAAGGCGCGTTCACCTTGAGCATCTCGTGGACAGACGAAAGAAATATCTTGTGCGTCTGCGCCGAATTGACTACAAGAGATTTGAATGGCTGCTTGAGAAACTAAATCTACTCTACAAGCCTCGTGTCTTGTAAGTACAATAGTGCACGAGTCACGAGATAACTATTTTTTTTACACTATTTGGCAATTAATAACAGATCATGCATGGGTGGGAAAAATTTACGATATTATTCAGGTAATAATTTAGCTCGTTTAACAAATGATCTCTGATGGATAGAAAATTTTAAGAGGTCTATATGCAGTGCCAAGTTGAATAATTTTCATACCAAGTAGGAGGCATAAAATTCAATAATATTTCTCACAGCTATATAATGATCCTACTGTTCATTGCTGTCAAATTTAGTGTGATAATTTCAACTTATGAATTCGAAGCATATGTTATGACGAACTTGTATTTCTACAAGCTGTGAGCATACTTCATACTGGATGCAATTTACAATGCTCTATCCTAGCTAATATTCACGATGGTATTTTTTACGTCTTACAGGAAAGGTGGCCCAATCTATCGTTATGACTCCCTACGCAAGTTGGTTAGCATGCGATGCGAGAAACTGCGTAAGGCAAAGCTGGCTGCTTATAAAGCAAAGCTTGATGCCCAAAAAGAGTCCTTTGAAGCTGAAAAGAAGTCAACGTTGGAATGGATCAAAGAAACTGAAGAAAAACTTGGCATTCCAGTAACTGTAGATCCAGAGACCGGCATGATTGAAGCTCCATTACCGCCTAGAGTCACTATTGCAAAGAGAATATTCGGTCCATACTTGGTAAATAAAGAATAATTTGTTCAAAGATTACAATACTTTGTGGGCACATACCGGTATTCCCAATTTTAAACTAAAGTGATTTTTCTCAAACTATTTACGTTCATGTAAATATACTAGATGAACAAGCTAACTTCGAAAAATGTCATGAATCATTGGGGCAGCACGGATATTATAACGGTGCATGAATTTATTGATGCACTATCTATTTTCTCTGTGGTATAGACTGGTGTGAACAATGTTCGTTCACAATGCAGCATACGCCCGCCGATTTGTTGATAGTTTCAGTAATGGAAACTCGTGTATGATTGGGAATGATATCGGAGTCCAAATGGCATTGGTTCAGTCGTTCAGCATTGATTTATCACTGAAGAATGCACTATCTATTTTCTCTGTGGTATAGACTGGTGTGAACGGTGCTTGTCTACAATACAGCATACGCAAGCCGATTTGGTGAAAGTTCCAGTAATGGAAATTCGTGTATGATTGAGAATGATATCGGAGTTCAATCCGGCATTGGTTCTGTCGTTAATCATTGATTTATCACTGAAGGTGATGATCTACAAAACTAGTGGGGCTCGAATTAGGAAATGTTTTCCTGGCAGCGGGCATGAATACACTCTAGCCCTTCTTCTTGAAAGACCTTAATGCTTTTATAATCACTATTTGTGTACATAGGTACGCTCCACGGTTAATTTTGTCGAGTCATGTGACGAAGTGCAGTGAATAATGCGCAATATTGTTGTGAGGACCGAAGTGACAGCTTAAGAAATTTGGCGTCTATAATACCGCATTTGTGAGTGTCGAATAAACTATAAAAAACGTGATGTGGCTTGTTGCTGTATTTTTAACCCTCCGTTTTTTACGTGATCATTTGAAATGATTGTCAGTTACATCTGAAGTGGGCGGCGGATTGATAAATCGTCGCGTATCGGCTGCTTGTCAAGTGTCTACGATAAATGCAGTCAATAGACCGTCGCTGGCGGCGTAACGTAGTGGTTGGCAAGTCCTCAGTCCTCGATGAAATGGGATGTTGACTTGCCCAACAAGCATCAACAACTTCTGGCGCTATCTTGTGATGAGGCTCAAAATCTGCAGTATTTCGAGATCGAATCTCTAAGTGGAACAGCTGATCAAATTATTTGATGATCCGAACGGGGTTGGCAGCATTGCCTATAGAAGACTGTCTATTGAATTCAAATGAAAAAGTCCCTTTTCTGTAGAAACATTAAATATTGGGCTTAAATATTTTGGTTATAATCAATGTGTAAGGATTAAAAATAATGGAGAGTCAGTTTTGATATGCTTACTGCAAATTATGCATTTACCTATAAACAACTTTTTGAAAAAAGCTTGGACATATTTTCCAGCGTCTTGATGTATTTTATAACGAGAAAATGTTTCCCCGAGATAGAGATGCATTTAGCACGTTGGCCGCGGTTACAGATTTGGTCCGTTTGCCGTAAGGGCGACAGGTTCAAAACTTCAAAGTTCAAACTTGTATATCATCAGTTACCCGGTAGATAGCGAGGAGAAAAGTTGTGTGCAGCTCTGTAGAGGTAAGTTCTGTCTTTGTGTCACGTAAAATTGATGACCATATTTGGTGCACATCGCTCATGGCTGAAATTAGTCACTATTTCTGGCGATGTGTAGGTACAGATGCAGAGATGGATTCTTCAAGTGGAAGCTGCAGTAATGAATCAGAATTGGAGTTAGTCCGAAATCGTTCCTGTTCTAACAAAAAGTGAAGAAGAACCTCCAGAAGATTTATCTGTGAATGAAGATGAAGCACTGTAGTGTAGGAAGAAAGCAATGGAAAAAGTGCGCCTGATACACGGATTGCTGCTAGTGCAACATCAAGACAATATCCTTTTACAGGCAAAGAAGAACTTTGTCAAAAACCACGCCAATGCTGGTCCAGAAATCACACTAACGCCAATTGAAACTTATAATCTCTTTGTAACGGAACAAATTATTTCTGAAATAGTAACAGAAGCGAACAAATATGCTGATCCAGTTTTGCAGAACACGAAGATTACAAGAAGATCGCTCCGGAAATGCTGGACTTCCACAAATGCTCAGAAATAAAGAAATTTTGGGGGCTAATAATTGCAATGGGATTAGTACGCAAACCAAAGCTGGAACTCTACCGGTCCAAAAAGACAATTTATGACCATCCATTCATCTGCAATATCATGTTAAGAGATAGATTTTTATTACTCCTACGTTTCGTGCGCTTCAATGATAATGTTTTTTCTGATAACTCAAAAAGGCTTCATAAAATAGAACCACTAGTGCAAAAGCTAACTGACAATTACAAGTCAACATACACACCTGGATCACGACTCGTGCTAGATGAGTCAAGTATCCCATTCCGAGGCAGAGTGAAGTTCAGAGTTCCTACAAAACATTCCAGGAAAGGCACACAAGTGCGGCGCAAAGCTGTATAAGCTTTGCTCAGCTGATGCCTACACTTGGAACCTTCACATATACACTGGAAACATGGAACGGGAAGCCACATTCAGCCATTCTGAATCTGTTGTTTTGAAGCTATGTCAGCCCCTTCTTGGACAGGGTTCAACTATTTTCTGACAATTTCTATACATCTGCTCCTCTAGCTGAAAAATTGTTAATCCAAAATCACTGCTAAATACAAAAGTGAAAGCAGGAGAAATGGTTTCACAACAGAACGTCGCTGGCATCAAGGTGTATCATTGGAAAGACAAGCGATCTGTCGTGTGCCTCTCAACTATTCCAAAGCACGCAGATGCATTAGTTCCATCGGGTAAGAAAAACCGTAATGGCGTTGAAATTCTGAAGTCAGAATGTGTAATTGATTATAACGCAGCTAAAAAAGGCGTAGACATCTCAGATCAGATGACTTCCTATAATACGGTTCTAAGACGAAGCACAAAACGGTACCGAAAAGTGGCAATTGAAACTGGCACATCAATTGTAATCTTCAACAAGTACTATTAGAATAGAATAGAAGTGTCGGCACTGAAGAAATAGTCCCATAGGCCTATTCTCGCACTTCGGTTTAAATAACAGTATTTAGGGAGCAAATAGCAATGTTTCTCGTTACAGACAGCCATTCAGAAAGTGTAAAATATTTACGTAGATCTCAAAATGTCGAGGGGAAAAGAGGCCAGCACACTTTGATTGAACCAACTACAACTAAAACCAGGAAGCGCTGCCGTGAATGCTACAAAATGCTCTCAGCAAATGAGGGAAGTGCCGTAGCACGGGTGAAAACGTTCTGCGATGGCTTTGAAGGCAAACCATACTTAATTTGCATGCGTTAATTGTTTTGCAATCACGCATGCAATATAATGCTGATGGCATCACTCAATGTTCGTAGTTTCAGAGGAATAAGAAAATATTTTATTTTGCATCTATGCAAAGATAACAACATTTGGCTCTCGTCGATGGACACGAATTTTGTCATTTTGGTACAAATGCCTTTTGAAAATAAAACTATTTCTCCATGCAGTAGTTCACTTTAAAGCCCTCCCAAACAGGCCTAATGAGTTGTATGGTTGAAATAAAAAATTCGAAAGAAAAATATGAGTTTATAAAAATATGTAATTTTCATAGTCATGTGCCACATATGTCCACATCGCGATTCTGGAAAGTTCAGCGTGTACATATATGGCGCACATCGCGGCCAACGTGTTAAGAAAGGTCTGAAAGGCATACCTATTCAGTGAAGCTTCGGTAATGGGTGCCGCTGTCTGAGATTATGTGTGGAATCTTGATACTCAAACCTCCAGCACTATTTTTTTCTCGAAGAGCTTTCATCACTTATTTTCTTTTTTGAATTTCTATTTAATTAATAGAGAAAATTGTATTCTATTATTGTAAAAGTTTTTTGTTGATCTTAGATCCCTGCAAGGGAGTTTTCCTTCAGTGTTCCTTAGAGCGAATAGGACGAGAGGATGGCTTCCAGGAGGATTCGGTGTTCATGGCTTCCTGTCTTAGCTCTTCTTTTGGAACTCGTCTTCGGTGCTCAAAAAGCTCCGAAGCCCCCGCATCTCATTCTCATAGTTGCGGATGATCTCGGTGAGTAAGAAGCCTTAAGCGTACGGTATACTTACGTACAGGATAACGACGGATAGTTGTGATATATTTGTTGAGAAGGCAAATTTTGACAATATCTACCCACTATCAGCATAGTTTCGTGTGCGTTGAAATCGTATGCAAAGGTTTCTGGTGTAAAGCTGGTGAGGCTCAACATTAGTATGAGAGTTTTCGTTTTTTAGTCACTGCAGAGAATGTATGTTGATTCCATAGTAGTTAAACCATGCTTATTCTTAAAAAAAATTAATAATATGATTAGTTTTTCTTCTTTTAATTAGTTCGAGTTGCGTCATTTCTCACACTGCAGGCTGGAACGATGTTTCATGGCACAACCCCGAAGTGATAAGTCCTCATCTGGGGAAATTGGCCAGCGAAGGTATCATCCTGAACCAGTCGTACGTTCAGCCCATCTGCTCACCGACACGGTCCGCCCTCATGGCCTCACGCTACCCCTTCACCATCGGCAGGCAGGTAGGGGTCTAATTTACCCTCATGGCCTCACGCTACCTCTTCACCATCGGCAGGCAGGTAAGGGTCTAATTTACCCTCATTGCCTCACGCTACCTCTTCACCATCGGCAGGCAGGTAAGGGTCTACTTTACCCTCATGGCCTCACGCTGCCCCTTCACCATCGGCAGGCAGGTAGGGGTCTAATTTACCCTCATGGCCTCACGCTACCCCTTCACCATCGGCAGGCAGGTAGGGGTCTAATTTATCCTCATGGCCTCACGCTACCCCTTCACCATCGCCAGGCAGGTAGCGATCTAATTTACCCACATGGCCCCACGCTACCCCTTCGCCATCGCCTGGCAGGTAGGGGTCTAATTTGCCCTCATGGCCTCACGCTACCCCTTCACCATCGGCAGGCAGGTAGGTTCTCTTTCACCATAGATTGAAACGTTGGCACTAGTTTACATAAATTAGAAAAATTTTCATATAATCAAACCCGATATCGTGGCTGCACTTGTACATTTGAAGGATTAAATTTATAGTGTTTTCGATAGTATTTTGAACAGATGACTGATTGTTACTCCTACTACGGGTTCAGAAAAACTATAAATTATTCAATGGAAATAGCGGTTACTATCCCGTCATCTCGCTAAAGCAAATACTCTTGCTCTCTGGATGCAGGGCGACGTGATCTACCCTATGGACCCCACGGGACTCACGCTCAACTACACGATCCTGCCGCAAGAGCTCAAGAAGCGCGGCTACGACACGCACGCTGTTGGCAAGTCAGTTGCGGTTCATAGAGTGACTGAAATATTATGCAATGATTGTGAGATATGATGATAAAATTTGATGTGCATTATTGTATCATCAGAGAACTATTATGTCATTTATCATTAAATATATTTTAAGAAATAATTAAAAGATGTGTCATTTTCGAAAAAAAATACACTTCCATAATTTAAAATTCCATATTATAAAACAACAAATATTGAAATATAATTTATTCTCGATAATTGATTATTAGTTGTTAGGTTATTACCTATTTTAAATTCAATCTATTAATTAGACAATTTCAGGCGTTATAATCGATATGCACGGATGTACCAGATGGCACTTGGGCTTCTGCAAGTGGGAGTACACACCTACTCAGCGAGGTTTCGACTCATTCTACGGCTACTACACGGGGTCTGAGAACTACTACACTCATTACCGTAACTACTCCTACGCGGGCAAGCATACAGGTGATATATTGGTATACAATGATATTGGGGTGATATATTGATATATTATACTACACACAGGTGATATATTGATACTACTCCAGGTGATACAATGGCATGCTCGACTGTAAATATATCAAGGGGATTCATTCGTTACGTAGTTATAACGTAATATGAATGTTTAGTTTCCTTGCCAGGAGATTATATGAAATTCTTGACTTATATATTTAAATTATGATATTTTTCTTATTAAATTTTATTGCCTGTGTTCGGTACAATATTGCGAGTGGGTGTTCACTGAAATTGTTTCAACAGTTAAATTTATGTTCGAGCTTGGAACTAAATAACTGATGTGTCATATTTTTAAATTCATATGAACCTATTTACTCGAATTAAATTAAATGTGTTAATCTTTAAAAACATCATGCAATATAAGTTGGCATTTTACTTCTTCATGGCTGCACAGAAGCCGTTGACCGGAGAGAGTCAGGTTACGACTTCAGATCCAACACGTCCGTGAACTGGTCAGCGCAAGGCCAATACTCTGCGGTAATAACCACCTCTTCAAGTAAAATAATATCCCACCCAATACGTGCTAATGTTTCCAGCAAGTTGACCGAAGAAATGATAAGATAATAGCACATAGTAGAATTTATCTCCCTTTGTCCGCTTACATCTTCTGAAAACCATCTAATTGCATACCAGATCTTGTTTTAGAGGTATCAAAACCTGCATACATTTCATTGCGAAGAAATCGATAATTTTTTATGCAACTGCTTACTTAGATTTTCTGGGACTTCTTACTTGGAAACAGCTTTTTATTCGTGCCTTTTAGGTAAGAAGGTTTGCAATTTTCATGCAGTTTAAATTGTCTTCGAACTTACTCCAAAATTTAAAAGTTTGTAAACTTTCCAACCATTAATTTTAAATTTTCAAACTTATGATTTATTTTAGCAACACAATCATAATCTCAGAATCTTTGGTAAAATAAAGCGTAGAGAAGAAAGGTGGTAGAGAAATGAAGGTGAGGGATTGGTGAGGTCATAGAGATGTGAATGTCGTGCATGGAATGGTGAAGTTCATATAGAAGCGAAGGTCGTAAACTGGTTAAAGTCGCTGAGGGTTGAAGGTCACGGAGAAGAGACGGTCTGGTAGATATGAAGGTTGAAGACGGATGAAGAGGTGGAGGTTATTGATTATTGAAGGGCAAAGGTCATGGAGTGATGACTGTAAAAAGGGACTGTCAACATATCCTCATCAGCTCCATCTTGCCTCGTCCGGCAGTTCCTGTTCGCGGACCGCGTGGACGGCCTCCTGCGCTCACGTAGCCCCGGCACGCCGCTGTTCCTGTACATGCCCTTCCAGAGCGTCCACGCGCCCCTGCAGGTGCCCCGCAACTACTCCGACCTCTACAAGAACATTTCGGATGTCAACAGGAGAACGTACTTAGGTGGATATCTTGTTTTCTGAGAGCAGGTGACGTGCTTAGTTTCAGATTAAGAAATATAATGAGAAATATATGCTCAAATTCGTCATTGATTTGAGATTGTCGAGTTGACGATGGCGCATGCATTCATGATCCAATCAAGTGGCGTAGTTAGATAATGACGAATTATTCAAGCAAATATTCGACCTGCATGACAGGTTTCAGCGCTTCTACTAACAGTGCTAGGCTCGTTGATGAAATTCATCAACAAGCACTATGTTGATGAATTTCATTACTATCACGTTGCAAATTAGTATTGGTAGCATTGCACTTGCACCGGTAGGTATGGTGACCGCCATGGATGAGGCGGTGGGCAGGATCGTGACGTCACTCAAGGAGACTGGCCATTACGACAACTCCGTCATCGTCTTCACCACTGACGTGAGTCACAGCGAGTTATTGGCCTCTGTAGATATTTTCAGGTAGAGCAAATAGCACTGACTTGGCCAAGAACCTTGCTTAGGGTATGCGTACAGTTAGCTTATACCTTCATTGTTTTTCTATTCAGAACGGTGGTCCTACAATATCAGGGTCCAACAACTGGCCTTTGAGGGGCAACAAGACAACGCTGTGGGAAGGCGGCACCCGCGGCGCTGCTTTCATCCACTCACCCATTTTGTCGTACCCTGGATCCGTCTCCAACAGGTTCGTGACTGGGAGGCCGTAGTTAAAAATTCAACTTTATCTGTATGACCATGTCCTACGTAATGCACACCATGTCCTACGTAAGGTGTGATTCGTGAATTTGTTTCTGATATACCTTCTAGATTGTTGTTGCAAGCGTAAGTTGTGATTCATTGTTACAGATATCATTCATAACAATAGTTTGTTTCGCCCTCAGACTGGTCCATGTGACGGACTGGTATCCAACTTTTATGCATCTGGCAGGCATGAGTGATCCCCAAGGCATTGATGGCCTCAACCAATGGGAGGCTCTGAATAATGCTTCGTTGTCTGATGCGCGGGATTTTTTCGTGTATGATCTCGATGAAACGAACGGTATTCGGGCTGCTGTCAGGTATGTGCCGTGAACATTGTTCACTTTAATTACTTCGTGAAATTTTGTTCTCTTTGCATTCTTCATGCGTCCAATTGAAAAACGTGGCGCTGTTGAAGTTAAGCATGAAAAATATTTGTGCGTCACTGATTAACATTTTGGTCTCTACTTAGCAATTAAAATTCATATTAGACCTTCGAAGTCGATAATTTTTATATAATCAGTGCATACTCTCGAAAATTATCCATTAAAATATTCTATTTTTTAGTGCCTAGCGATTCGATATCAAAATGATTTCTCTGGTCATTTTAAATTCAAGTTCTCAAACAATGCAAATTGAAATTGCGGTATATATAAATTGTGGTCAAATGAAGTAAAATTTATGATAAACTTGATATATAAATGTGCGAAATTTCGCTCAAAATAATTTTCAGTAACATGCCATCGAAATATTATGAATTAATTTTTACCTCATGGTTTCAATCTAAAAATTTTTCTCTGGTAGGTGGGGAAGATACAAACTGATTGTGGGAGACCCTGGACCTTCCTCTTGGTCGCCCCCAACGCATATACAAGAGGTGACCCCAGCCCAGGAGGAAGCAAAAACTACAAACGAAGAACTTCATGCAAATTCCATTTTCTCCACTACTTTCCGTAAAGCTGGAAAGAGAACCAAACGTACCGACGCCGCTTTTATGCGAATGGCCGTAGAATATTTCACAGATAGACTGATGGACATGAAGGACATTCTCAAACCCTCTTCAAGACTCACCGAATCACGAGCAAGCAATGAAAATCGCAGAGACGCGACGCACGTCTCCGGGGACAGAGTTCAGAAGGACAAAGTTCTTCAGGAGGAACTGAAGCGTCGCTATCGCTTGTCTTCAGGAGCCAACCTGCGACTGTCAGACTTCAAAACTGTTCAAGACATCGTCGTCGCCAACGTGACAATGCAGCTCTACGATGTACTCGGTAAGAGAAATTTTCTCTGTTTGGTATTGTGCACGCTGAAATCTGTTATTATTTTTGGGAAGCTATTACTAGATATATTCAGATACTTTGGAAGATCGTCCGCCTCCAATACTGTGAAACTGCGCATTTTAGATACGTCCAAATAAATACCAAATTAAAATCAATAAATACCTAATATTCATATTCAGCTTCAATATTATTGTTTGAAGAATGCTATAAATTGTGTATTCATAAGAACGTTGACGTGCAGACGACCCCGACGAACGTTTGGACCTGGCGAAGGTGCGCACTGACGTGGTGCACCTACTGCTGGCGAGGCTGCAGGACGAGCTGCCGCGTTACCACCCCAGGGAGGTGTACCCCGACGCCATCCTCGCCGCCCCCGACAACTATGGCGGCACTTGGTCACCTGGCTGGTGCTGAGGCGCTGGCTGTTCAGGGGAAACAAACATGAATGTTAATAAAACTGAAATTGAACGTGAACATGTATGCGTATGGAGAACAAAATAGGCGAAGAACTCAACAACGTAATCTTTTTTTGAAAGCCAATCTATAATTGTCAGAAAAAAACTTTTAGAGAGATACAAAGAGGAAGTATTGCACTCAAAACATAATAATAGCGGTTTCAGCGTTTGTTAGGCTGTAGTCCTATCGCCGATTCTAAACATCGCAGAAGATTCCCAGCTTGTTGCGGCCTTGAACACGCAGCTCAGTGCTCCAATTCTGCTTGCTGTCATTTAAATGCATTTTTTTTGTTCATACAGTTTTTTTCAATAAGATAGTATAGTGACTATGAAGATGATAATGCTGGTGACGGTGATTATGAGGATGGTAAGATGCTCGAGACTCAAGAGATGAATTTTGTCAAGTATTGTTGGGACTACAGTAATTCATCCGTCTCGTCTTTACTGTGTTTCACTCTCAATGAGTGGCGCCAGTCCGTCAGCGTGGTAGTGTATTTGATGATGTGAGTTGTTATGAGACAAGCTACACCCAGACGTGATGGGAACAACTGTTGCCCGAGTGTGGCACGCACTGCTGAGGCGTTAATTGTACAGGGGTGGAGGTGGGGGACCTAGTGCGTGTAATTTGGAGCTTTTGGATAACTGGTGCTGCCTTGCGATGGCGTCGGGAGGGGATGTGAGTTGAGTTGGGGATCATATGTTTTGATGGTGGACCAAGTTTCGTGTAATTATTGGTGAAGAACTGTGTTTATTGTAGGAATGTCGCATTGTTCGTGTAGTGTTTGGGAGAACGTGAAGTCAGGTCAAAGTGTGTTTGGGATTAATTGCAGGACTTTGTTTTGTACTGTCTGTTATTTGGATATCTTTGATTTTGATTGGGTGTGTAACGGTATTGGGGGTAAATGAGGGATGATCTGACACAGGAGAAGTATAACGTCCGTTGTATGTTGGGTGGGAGGTGGTAAATCTGTGTATTTTGTGTAGGTTGGTGAGGGCCATTGTTTTTCTTTTCGCTATTTGAGACTTGAAGCCGCGTGTAGTGAAGTATAAATCTAAAACTGTTCTTCTGTTCGTGTATGAATAGTGGGTGTTGTCTATGAAGATGTCGGAAGTCTTTCGTCTAATGATGAGGATGATTTTAAATTTATTTGTATTTGTCTTAATGAGCCAATTATTTTCGAAGGTGTTGATCTGTTGTATGGCGTGCTATGTTTGTATTGATGTGTGGTTGTGTGGGTAATGAATGTCCTATTGTTATTTGTGTTATGTCATCTGGAAACGCTATGTGTTGGTTATGACTTATGTGGAGATGGGAGGTCGTGGGTTGTGAAGCTGTATAGTGTGGGGAACACACTATACACTATACTTGTGGGGACAAGCCTCTTGGGGGACATCTGTGTGGAGTTGTTTGGGGGAACTATGCAGTTACCTATTCTTATGGATGCTGTTCTATCTGTAAGGTAGTCTGAGAGTGTTTTGGTGAAGGACGGGTGAGGGTTGAATTGAATGATCTTGCTTTAGGTACTTCTATAACTGAAAGCTCAAGATTAATGTTGCATTACGAACACTCTAATACACCGGACGTTGCTGTCCGGTGTCAATCTGGCGTCTCATTATAATCATTATAATGTATGTAATTTAAACGAAATATTCGCTTGACCAGAGAGAGATTGATGACATGAGTCAGCATCTGGAAGACACGTGATAGATCGCGCGATCAAGACCTTAGCTGTGGGCGGAAGCCGAAGGCTATATAAGGGCTACAACCTTAAGTAAGGCCCCCGCAGTAGTTGATTTGCACTAAGCGATGTAGCGTGCCGGTAGAGTTCTCCGACCTTATGGTCGATGCCGTTGCAATTATACCTCTGTATCGAACTCCTGTATAACCACCCCGTATATAAGAGATGTTATCAGACGCACGTGTCTTACTTATCCTCCACGACCTTAGTCACGTAACCCGATCCTCAGGTAGAGCTTAATCCAAAATGATCTGGGACATTGCTTGCTTTACCAAGCTTAATGCGCTTGAACAATCGAGTGAATATTCCTGAATGTTCAATATACGCGGCAGATTCAATAATCTCGCGGGGATAATCGTACGATATTCCACGCTAGTATAGTAGGCCCTTCTTCTACAGTGTGAATGAATGATTTACAGCTGAATACGCTTGATATTCTTACTTTGCAAGGGCAGTAAGAAGAATATTTAATTGCTGCTCCTAGTAGCCACCTCAAAGCGAAGAAATTTAACGATGACATTTGACCCCATCCATACGCTAATGTTTCCTGCTCATACATTGAGTGGATAAAATTTATGATTCGACAAAGGGTCATTTCCTGGACATAGACCTATGAATTTCCCACTTCCACTTCCTCCACATCTTTGCCCCACCACTCATCCCTGCGAGACAGGCTCTTTAGCTGTGACGTTTCTACAACCGAATTTCAAGTCACAACTCCACATTGAGCATGGCTAAAGAGTGGCAGTTGAAACTGCAACAAAGTTGAGCAGAAATGTGCATATTTTAAAATAGCACGATTGCTTATGTTGAATTATTACACATCTTCAAGATTTGTTGCAAAGTTTAGCGCTAAAAGTGATTTCTTTGTGAGGTAAAAAACTGAGAGCTTCGAGAAAAATGTCTGCCTACTGAAGTTCGAGTAATGAATTTTCAGCTATTTGTGTCGGAGTACAAGTCTAACAAATGTGCGCAAATTAGAGCGATGATCTTTGATGTGAATTAGGGATCTGTCGAAAAAAAGATAGTCTAAAAACTTTTACAGTAAGTTTTTGAAATCTAGACCACAAATTTAACATTAACTTCAAATCTGAACACAAGCGCGTAAGCAATAGTATGAAATGGGAATTTCGGTCGTGGAGTTCAGAATTTGATATAGTATACAGTATACTTAGTAATGATAGGCTAACTGATGCATGTTTGGGAGCAAACCAACGCTAGAACGACAATGGAAGGAACGACTATGCGAAGAAAATCTACGATATGAATAAATGATACAAGACAAATCCTTTAAAATTTATCTTGGTTAGAATAAACGTATCACCTATCTGCAACATGTACTGCGAGCTGTCGGATTCTAGCGTAACTTTTATGTCTCTTGCCTTATTTCCCTGTAAGAGGAAGCACCCGCTTCTCCTATCGCCCTCTAGCTTCTGGTCTTCGGCTCGAGCAGGTTGCTCTCTCTTTCGGTGTTGAAGTAAACCTTAGCAGAAGACTTAGCTTTCATTCAATCCCACAACCGTAAGACTATCATGCCGTCACAAAGTGATAACGTAACAATCTTGGTTACAAGAAAACCTTAACCCGCGAAGGCATACAAGATCGGCATAACACCAACATTTCTAGGTGATTGGGGGAGCAAAATATGCCTAGTACAATTTGGAGTGAATAGAGTGAATCGTATTGCTATAAACTTAGATACACGATAAGGAGTGCGCACTTCTTGTCGATAAATAATTGATTAATTTTTTCAGACTCATTGTCTCTCTATAAACCATAAAATGTGGGTAAAGTTAGGAATTTTTAAAATAAATTTTTTATTTATCACATTTCAGTAAGTTAAAATTTTATTGTCATATTTCAATGCATTTTCAACTATGAATAACTTATTTTGCACAAATCCATGTTCCAGCCAATTTTAACTAGTGTGGAAACCTCCTATTTTAGTTTACTTGCGGCTGTATAATATTTATAATGAATTTAATGTTACCTTTGAGAGACATACATTTTTAACATCCTTCGTAACGTAAGTGTACCTCGTTTTAAATTTAACCTATTTGGTCGAAGTTTATTACGGCAGTTGATGTTTATAAGCTTCTGCGACTGGCAGACGTTCGACCCATTGAAGTTTGTTAAGAAATCTGGTGCTAGTGCGGCCTAAGTTAAATATTGATCACAGTTAGTTTTAACAGGAGAACGATTGTGCTGTTTTCAGAATGATAGGAAGAAAGTATTGTTAAGGGGAACGTCTACACCCTAAAATCATCTCTGTACGTTGATTTATGCGTTCACCAAAGATCGCGAATTTTTTGAAGAGCTACGTTGCGCCGAGGCTTTAACAAATGTCTAAGGGGCGAAATTATCTGCCTTCACATTATGTGCTCTCTTTCGCCGACTATCGGAGTATCGGCGTGGAACTTCAGTCACCCCGAGCTATCATGCGGGAAGATGTTAATGCAGTCGTTCTCTGTATCTCTGCCTGGCTTCCAACTAAAATAACGCCTAACTTTAGTATCCTAGCTACGATAAATGCCTAAAAAGTTGCCTGTATACAGCGCGCGGCGACCTTGTCGGCAGTTTTCGGCTGTCCTCAACAGTTGAACCTGCTCTCACTGCAAACCGATATCTCCTCCTAAAATTTTCGAGCTACAGCATTGAGAAATATACCATTCGATTTGCAATGAAAAGATGTAAAGAATGGTAGTAGTTTTTTTTGTAATTTCGAAATAGTTCGGAAAACAATTTGCAAAAAGGGGGGAAGGGGGGGGGAATTTACGCAAAAATCCCCTCCCGACCAACAAAAATAAAAATTTCGAAAAAACTGCAACCAATCGATAGATATGGTCTTTACGAATCGAATGACATGTGTCTCGATGTTGCAGCTTGAAAATCTTAGGACGAGATAGATTTCTACAGTACCCCCATAAGGCCGTTTTCTAAGAATTTCACATTTCCTTTCATTTTTTTCGAAAAATTTACACGAACAAAAAAGCCTTAGATTTCGGTTTTACATATGTATATCAAGTTTTAGAACGATCCATCCGTAAACAAAAAAGTTTGTTTATGGGAGTAGACGCTCCCCTTAAAACAAGAACAAATCTACTAGAGTTCCCTAGTGGATTTAATTGAGCTTTGCAGGCTACACCTTCCATAAGCCAATTCGTTTTACTATTTCAAATTTTGACATTACTGCATTGAGTGGTTAGCTGAGTCCGTAATTTGGAAATAAAAAGTGCAAGGCATCTCGACCACTGAATCTAGCCAAAGCTGAAAGAAAAAATTGCTTCTGTAAGAAAAAACGGGCATGACGTCTTGTCCTGGAGGAAAATCATACGTCGTTAGATTCTTTTCCGAGCAGTTAGGGTCTTTTCTGAACAGAACTTCCTAGACATTCTTAGTTCTCCTTTATCATCCTTGACGTCGTGGGTCTCTCTGGGCTTATTTCTAGGTTTGCCACGAAGCAATAATTTTATTTAAATAAAATGTTCGAGCTTGTTTTTGGAAATGCAATAGACGCTTTCGTTTTTCCGCCTCCTCCCTTAAAATAAATCTTGACAATGGAGGGGTGCCTGCCACATTATGAGTTACCCGGATCAAGCACCTGCAAAGTTGAATGCATCAGAAACATAATACATTTTATTTCCTCGCGTTAGATATCAGACGATTTTAAAATAATTATAACTCTGAGTTTCACATAGATTATATTTTTTTGTTATTCATAGAAAGACGACCGCTCGAATGACATAAGCTACGGTCATTACCGATTTTACGTGGCAGAGATGAATACTTTTTTGCGCATGGGCATTTTCCATGAAGATATCTTAATTTTAATTTCATAGATTTAATTTTTAAATTAATTTTAATTTGATAAATTTGAAAAGTTCAATCACTTGACATACCCTTTTCATTGATCTCGTTTGCTCCGCCTGGTGATATGATGGTATAATTTTTAATTAAACTTAAAGTTTACATTGACAACTGTTGCTTTATTGATTCACTGTACATCGTACATCTTTAATAAATGATCATTTATGTTGGGTGTGAATATCTTGGAGAATAATTTTTCAAGTACTCGTGTTTCATAACTAAATTTGTTTTAATGTTTAATTATATACCGCTGTTCAAAATACTAACGTACAGTATCTCCCATCATATAAGGCTTCTTACAAGCACTTGAATTAAGATCAGCGAACATTCAACTTAGAGGGCCTGGCACCACAGCCGCTTCCTGTTGTTCAACTTGAATTAAAAGATGCTATATTTGCCGTGAGTTGTTCCCCTTGATTGCTATTCATCATTGCTTGCAGTGAGCTCTTTCACTTGGCGTGCGTGACTTCGCTGTCACAAGTATTTTTGTACTTGTTAGGCAGCCTTTGGTCACACTCGTGATTTATTGTCCATGGTTCGAATGATTAAACTATAGTTGAAGATTGATTAAAGTATTTGAAACGTTTTCAGTAAGCGTTTACGGTTCGAACTTTTTGCATAATTTTGAAGATGAGAAAGTTGGAAAACAAAAGGTTGAAACTTGCGCTGGTCATCACATCAGCATCACTGGTTACGATGGCTGTGATGAGTCGTCATATCCAACTTCGTGTTGATGTCGACAAAAGAGTGCCTGAATTTCATACACAGAACACAGGTACGGGGTGAAATAAATCAAGATATGTTGGAATTTAAATGAAATTAAATAGGGAACGGTGACAGAAAGAGATGTGAAAGCTAAAAATTCTCAAAGAATTTCCTGATATTTTTTATTTCGGGCAGAATGAATTTCTTCGAATTACTGTTAATTCTTCAATTGAAGAACTCTTTCAATGGTTTATAGTGAAGCCTGCGAGGCAAATTCTCCCGTCTTGAAGTATTTGTTCCATGAACCATTTTTATAGTTAAATAAATGGGCGTTTCGAACACATATAAGAGGTACGAGAAAGCTTACACATATAAGTCGTACGAGAAAACAATAATAATCATTTATTCTTCCAGGACTCGCCGAGAATGAAATGTATCTGCGAAGAACGACGAATCTGGCACAAAGACACAATGATGTCCATGTTACGTGTCAAATTTTTGAAGAAAAGGTAATTTATGTGTAATTATTCACTCTTCTTTGCTTAATGGTTGTAAGTTTTCTCGCGATACTACAAATTAACAAAACTGAATGCAGAAAAGATACGTTTGAAAAAATGATACGACACATAGACGATTATGATGACGACTAACAAATAATTTTTTAAACGAGATAGAATTTTTCGTGTTTCAAATTTACCGACATCAAATTAGGATTTGCAGAAAACTGTGGACGTGGCGTGCGAAAACAAACTGTCGGACTTATGCATGGCAATACTCCCCTTATTCTGACAGAGATCAGGCTGGAGGGCGCATTTGTCGCCAAAAGTCTTAACCTCAACTATAAAAAAATATACGCCCCTTGAGAAAATCATTCTGGGAAGAGCGACTAAAGTCATATAGTAGGAAAAGTTAGACAAGAAACTAATTTTTATGCCTCCAGACTGAGGCATATTATAATTTGTTTACTTCTATTCCGTGGAATATATTATCTTTTCATTTGCTCTTATTTTTTGTGCTCATGCGTACTAATCCCTAGTTTAGTTTTCTTCCATTCTTATCGATCGAAAACTATTTACTGAAAATTGGTAAATCTAGCCGGCAATAGATCATTCATCACAAATCTAAAAACCAGTTGCTCCTGTTGATCCACGTAGATTTTTGTCCACATATTAAGGAAGCAATGGTAGTCTGCAGGCAGAGTGAGGCACGATTTGATCCAGTGTCTTCTTTGCAATTATTTGTTCAAATAACCTCAGATTAGTGAACTAAACCAACGGCTGACGAGGATATCGAAGTCTCTGGAGCGTCTGTGGTGTGCCACAAAAGACGTCATGAGCACCGGCGGCTTCTGCGTCACCGCAGACAGACTTTACACCGGCGGCAACAGCTTCTTTGACCCGGAGGTGAGGCAATACACCGGCGGCAACAGCTTCTTTGACCCGGAGGTGAGGCACTACACCGGTGGCAACAGCTTCTTTGACCCGGAATACACCGGCGGCAACAGCTTCCTTGACCCGGAGGTGAGGCAATATACCGGCGGCAACAGCTTATTTGACCCGGAGGTGAGGCACTACACCGGTGGCAACAGCTTCTTTGACCCGGAGTTGAGGCACAACATAGGCCATAACAGCTTCTTTGACGAGGATTTTCGCCATATTCGCGAATAAAGACTAGATTTAATATATGCTATTTTTCTCTTTAATGAGGAAACATGGACTATGAAACAAAATATTCTTCAAGTAGCCTCTTCTTTCTGAGGATAAACTTTAATGAAGACATTTCTTGAAATAATCTATGGGTCTTCATGGGCCAATTCTGGATAGCACATAAGTATTTTGTCGAAATAATTATTTTTTAGGTGATTATCAAAACAGTTGGAGCCTTAATTTATTGGTGCTCAGTGAAATAATTTGTTTTTATTTTGCCCTGAGTAGAAAGATATCTTAGCGATTATTTTTGTTGCTTTAGAAACGATAACGTTTGTTAGTTCCTTCTTTCTTTGGTAGGCGCATGCACTAGTTCAACTGTCTGTGGACACCAAATACAGAAAAATAATATATTGTAAAACTAAAGCATGAGTAAATTTTTTCAGTCATTTTTGACTCTATAAGAACTAAAGAACTAATAATCGAAGAGAACCGAGTTCTATTCACCGCCCTGCCAGCCTTCAGAACCGCGATGTGTTTGACTGTCGGCAGATGTGTTACTTCGTGGAGGCGTTGGTCGGCAACGTCTCGATTGCGGACTTCGGTGCAGGGCTCGGCAAGTACGGCATGTGCTTCCTGCGTAAAAACCAAACGGAATTTCGACTGGACGATAAACAACGATCGCAATACATCGCCGACTTGCAAACGGATTTGAACGATATTCAGAACAAGCCTCAAATCGTCTATTCCTGGCATGGTACGCGCAGCCTAATTTCCAACACTACTGCAACCAGTGTGTCAATATGTGTGAAGTTATTATTTAATGATTATTTTCTTAATGAAATTTTGCATTTGCATGTCACTTAATACATCAGACAAAACTAAATACGTTTTTATCTCACTGATTGCAGCCAACATAGTCGGTTCTTCTAATTACAGTCAATATTTCTGGATTTCGCTGCAAAACTTTCGAGAAATATTGTTATTCATCTGAGTCATTTCCAGGTCACTATCGCCTTTATCAACTCAATTAGTTACTTGGTGTAATTTTAGAAAGCCAAGTAACCAAACATTTTTGGTGTTTCTTTATTCAAATTTTCTTGATTATTTTTCGAATTTATACTGAGACCAACTAAAACTAAAAGACAAAATTATTATATGGTGTGGCAATTGGGATATCGATATTTCGCTTCATCACTCATCACAATCGTTCACTCTCATTATCGCTGAACACTGAAATCCGGCAATGCGAGCTATCCTGTGGAATTTGATACAATTTTTTCATACTATGGACGCATGGCAAAGATTTTTTGTAATAAGATTTTGAACGAATGATTCCTGATACTTTTAAACATATATAATGCGAATGCTCATGTTACTGAAAACCCTCAAGTTATAATTTAAAGAATACGATTTAAATTATTTTGAATTATTTCATCAACGCATGATTACTAGGATTTGACTGTACCTACATTGTTGTTGCTGCGGTGTCACCAGGAAAGAGTAGTAGAGAGCAATAGGTGGCGCAGAGTGGCCAGAAAGAGGAAGTAGAAGTAGAAAAGACAATAGGATATATGAAAGGCGCATTGCTCATGATTGGGTGAGCTGTAGGTGACTGGGGTCTGTTGGAGGTTGGGAGGGAGGGGAATAAGCCGTCAGGGCTTTTGATGGTTTATGCAGGCGGGTGATGAGGAGGTGGTGGTTCTTTATTTACATTATTTTACATACGGTTTCGCTTTTTTTCCTTAAGGGATGATATGATGATGACGGAGGTGATAACGATGGTGATGATGGTGATGATGAGGATGGTGAGTCACTCGAGACTCTGAGGGTGGATTTTGTCAAGTATCGCTTGACATTCATTAGTTCACTGATCTCATCTTTACTGTGTCGCTCACGGTGAGTTGCGTCAGTCCGTCAGCGTGCTAGTGGATAGGATGATGAGGGTTGTTTTGGGACCAGCGACCTACATAAGACTTTGGACCTTTTTTAAATGACGTGACGGAATAGAACTTTCTTCTTAACTCAAATCGCGTTAGTCAACAGCTCTTGTGTCGCTCCTCAGCAACGCTACTCTGCTGCTGCCCGCAGGTTTCGACGGCGGCATCGACATCGAGGAGGTGAGCGGCGGCTTCATCGCGCACGCCGACCTCAGCGAGGAGGGACTCTGGCTCGGTAGGAGGTGGGACTGGGTGATGAGCATCGAGGTGGGGGAGCACATCCATCCTAAACATGAGGACTTCTTCCTTGATAACCTCATCCGCCATGCTTGTGCAGGTAATAAGGAAATGTGTATCAGATGACGTCCTTTTAATTCTAGCATTTTATGCACTGGCTCGCAAATGAGGTAGCAGTTATTCTTTTCCTGATCATTATTAAATAGCTGTTGTGCAAAAGATACTATCAAATTAAAAAGAAATTATAGGACGCAAGAAGGCAATCTTTAAAATTATATTTTAGCCTGTTCTTCATAGTAACCAGTTTTGTAAAGGAATGAGAATGAAACGTTCCAAAAGTAAACAAAAATTCATCCTTAAAAAATTCTACTGCAGTATCATTAATGCCCAGGGATAATTTTGACGTGGGCGGTGGAGGGCCAGCCTGGTCACTACCACGTCAACAACCACAACAACGATTACATCAAGCAAAGGATGCGCGACAAAGGTCTCATCGTGGACGAAGATGCCGAGAAACTATTGAGAAGACTGATGAGGAATCACCTTACCAATACTTCCATGGTTTTCAGACTCCCCAGCTCAAGATCATGTCTGACCAAATAATGTTATTTTTTTGTGTCAAACTAAGATTTATTTGATCACCATCGAAATATTATACCTGATTAACAGCAAATTACTGTGGACTAATTGCCGCTGGTTGTCCAGTCAATTGAGTCAGCTTTCCCTGGCGTATAGGCCAAGTTGTAATGAGTAACCACTGTGATTAGCTTCTGATTTTTAGTCAACTTAATTGCGGAAGATACTTATTATGGAATTTAACAATATATTAACAGATATACATGTTTAACAACATTATTAATTACTTAACTGCACCTCGTTTGAAAATAATCTATTTGGTCGAAGCTTATTACGGCAGTTGATAAGTTTCTGTGACTGGCAAACATTCGATCAATTAAAATTGTTTGAGAACTTCTTTGCTAGTGTGATAATAATTTCAGTCGAACGACAATGATCATTGAGTTTCTTGAATTAATAAAAAGAAAGTTTTGTCGACAAAAAGAACAAATGTGAAAGTTCACTCATTGATTTGCTGAAAATTTTTTGGCTACACCTTTCAAATCCTATTGCCTATTGGTATTTAATATTTCAAATTATTTTAACGATTCTGCATCGAGTGGCCAGTTAAGTCCGTAAATTAGAAGTAAAAAGTACAAGATATCTCGACCAGCGAATCTACCCAAGATTGAGTGAAAAAATTGCCTGGTGGAAAAAACGGGCATTAGGTTGTTTGGCCTGGAGGAAAATCATAAGTTTCTTGAGCGTTAGGTTCATTTCCGAACACAACTTCCTAGAAACTCTCAGTTCTCCTGCATCGCTTTGAAGTAATACCCATTACATTGACTTCGTTTGCTCCACTTAGCAGAATGATGGTATAATTTTCTAGTAAATTCAGAGGTAAAATTGACCATTGCTGCTGATTTGACTCACTACACATCATACATATTTTATTCTTGATTCATGTTGTAATTCATTCATATTGACTGGAAAAAATTTGTTAGAATAATTTTTTAAGTACTCGTATTTATTATCAAATTTAAATATTTATACATGGATATTAAATACATTTAAATTCAAAATTGAATATTTATATTTAATTTTTGATTACCGCTAAAAAAATACCTAGCAAATCTAGCCGAAATCTAAAACTGCTTATCAGAAACACAGGGAATAAGTTTAGTGAGCATTCTACTTTGCCACAGCCGCCATCAGTTGTTCAATTTGTTTTGAAATATACCATAAACGCCCTGAGCTATAGCACTTGATTGCAAGATGCCAAAGCCGCCGTGAGTTGCACTTCACTGTCCTGCGTGTCACTGCATTCGTGAGGAAGCCTTCGGCCACGTCTGTCATTTTATGTTTATTGTTTAAATTATTTAACTGTGGTTGAAGGTTGATTATATAATTTCAAACGGGTTTCAGTAACAGATTTAGATTAAACTAAGAATAATGTTGAAGATAAGAAAGTTGGAAGACATAAGGTTGAAGATAGCGGTGGTCATCACAACGGCATCACTTGTTACGATGGCTATGATGAGCCGTCACATCAAACTTCGTGTTGCTGCCGTTAAAACAGTGCCTGAATTTCATCCACAGAACACAGGTACGGTAACATAAATCCACTTTCGTTCGGATTAAAAAAACAACAACTAGGGAACGGTGACAGAATGAGTTGCGAAAGATAAAAATTCACGAAGATTATCCCGATATTTTCTTTGCTTCGGAGAGGACGGATTTCCGCAAAATAAAGTTATTCATTCCATTCAATAACACGATCTGCAGTTTGAAATGAAACATACGAGGAAACTTGTACAGTCTTATTGTATTTGTTTTTCGCCCCACTTTAATAGGTAAATCTTTCAACAATTTGAAATAACTCAGATAAGTCCGAGAGAACTTCAATAATTAGCATTCATTCTAACAGGACTTGAAGAAAATGAAATGCATCTTGGAAAGGCAACGAAATTGGCAGAAAGGAACAATTATTTTCATTTAACGTGGCAAAGTTTTGAAGAGAAGGTAATTTAATAATAATCTTCTAATCTTACATACCTGCTTAAATGTTATAAATTTCATTTCGATATTATAAGTTTACAAATTTGAATGCAGAAAAGACGCATGAGAAATATGCTACGACATATAAACTATTATGATGACGACAAGGTGACTGATAAAATGGGGACTTTTTTCCCGGGGGTTCCATGTTTTTTTAATTTGTAGAAAGCATATGAAAACTGTGGACGTGGCGTTCGATAACGAACAGTCCGACTTATGAACTTTTACGCCATATGAAAAACAGTGCATCGAGTGGCTAAGTCATAGTAGGAAAAATTAGACAAGAAACTGCGCGGAGAGTTCGTTAAAAAAATTGACTTTTTCTGCGCTCAGACTGAGTCTAATATGTTCTAATTTCGATTATTCACTTCCTTGGAATATCTTAAATTTTTATTGATTTTTGTATTTGTGCAAGCTAGTTCCTAGTGTAGCTTTTGAACTGTATTTAGCGGTCGCAAAATGTTTACTACGAATAGTTCAAGCTAACCGATAATAATAGTTCATTCATCAGAGATTTGAAAACCGGTTGTTCATTTTGGCCAATGCATATTCAAGTGCACATATAAAGAAAGCTATGGTAGACTGCAGGTTTAGTAGGGCTTGAATCATCCGTAGTATTTTAGATTAAGCACGATATTATCCGGTATTTTATTTACAATTATTTGATCAATTAACTTTAGATTAGTGAACTAAACCAACGGCTGACGAGGATGTCGAAGTCTCTGGAGCGTCTGTGGTGTGCCACGAAAGACGTCATGAGCACCGGCGGCTTCTGCGTCACCGCCGACAGATTCTACACCGGCAGCAACAGCTTATTTGACCCGGAGGTGAGGCACAGTGAATTCAAGCCTCTGATTTTTCTCAAAACATCTAGACATAGGCCTGAAAATTTTGTCATCTATGAGATTACAAGCTAGATTCATGTTGCTATTGATACGATGTTACGATGATATGCTATTCTCATCGTAAATGAGGGAACATAAACTGTAAAATAAAATATTCCTAAAGTTATCTTTTATTTCTGTAAGTGAAACTTCAGTGAAGAAATTTTTTGAATGAATCACTGGGTCTTCATGGGAAAATTCTTGAGAGCACATTATCATATGTAAAAATAATTATTTTCGATTTTCAACATACCAAGCACCTGGTTGAACGATTAATTTATTGGTGCTCAATGAAATTAATTTTTGCGATTTCGCCCTGAGTAGGAAGTTTTCTAAGCGAATTTTTTTGTTGCTGGTGTAAAAGTAGCTTGAGCCTTACGATTCTTGGGGGGCTCGAACACGAGTTGCCACTATCATAGGACATCAACTACGAGTAATAAAATTCAATTAGACAGAAATTAAAGCAAAAGTCAGTTTACTCAAAGCTCTATTCACTGAGTTCTATTCACCGCCCTGCCAGCCTTCAGGACCGCGATGTGTTTGACTGTCGGCAGATGTGTTACTTCGTGGAGGCGTTGGTCGGCAACGTCTCGATTGCGGACTTCGGTGCAGGGCTCGGCAAGTACGGCATGTGCTTCCTGCGTAAAAACCAAACGGAATTTCGACTGGACGATAAACAACGATCGCAATATATCGCTGACTTGCAAACGGATTTGAACGATATTCAGAACAAGCCTCAAATCGTCTATTCCTGGCATGGTACGCGCAGCTTAATTTTCAGCATTTTTCTCCAACCGATATGTCAATATGTATGAAAATATTTTCAATAATTATTTATTTCTAAAAAGAATTGCATTTGCAAGTCAGTTAATATTTCGGACAAAACTTACTACGTTCACAGCTCATTGGTTGCAGCCAACATGACACCAATTTTACAAGTTGTAGTCAATATTTCAAGTTATTCATACAAACTTTCGGGCGCCAGTTTGTATTCGTACAAATCATTTACTGGTCAAAACCGCCACGACGGGCTCATTCTGTTAGTTGGTGTACTACATTTTTTGTTTTGTATTACATATTTTGTTTTGTACTACATTTTGTGCTCAAAGTCAAAGTTTTTGACTTTGAGTTTGTTTTGTTACTCGAAGTAAAGTTACCTTACATTTTTCTTAATTCAAATTTTCTTGATTCGTTTTCGCATTCATACTCGGATTGCACTTGATCAATTTGAACAAAGGCAAGTAACATGATAATAATTTGTTGAGGTAATTGTGATATTGATAGTTCTCTTCATTGCAAATCACAATCATCTATTGTCATCAACGTAGAACACTCAAATTCGACAATAGGAGCAATTCTGATAAATTTTATCAATTTTTTCTCTTATTGTAGAAAGAGAAGACTTTGTTGTAATGAAATTTTTCACGATTGATTTTTGATACTTTTAAAAATTTGATATTCAAATTATGATGCCATTAAAAACCAAATATATTATTTGGTATGAATCAATAAGTGATTTCAATGACTTCTAATGATTTCATCAAGACATGATCACTAGTTTTCGACCGTCCGTACGACTTAATTTATTTGTGTTTAATAATCAAATGACGAAAAAGATCTCTCGTCTCAACTCAAATCGCGTTTGTCGGCCCGTATGTGGCAGAAAATGAATGTGTCATGTTGTCCAAATAGTGACACACTTTCTGCGCGTAGCATTGATACGCTATTTTGATGCGTAAATTTCGGTCAGGATTACTCGCACAAGGGCAAAAAGTGTATCACAATTCGGATAAAGACACTGAAATCTTTGGGCGTTTGCCGGAGGCCAGCTTTGCCCAACTTCACACTTTGTTTATATTTCTTTTCATGGGTAAGCACGCGAGAGGACATAGCAGCCTCTGCTGTCAATTGCTCAAAGCCATATAGCGCAATATGTCCACACCCACCGCTTAAGCGTATCCAAGTTAAGTTTGGTTATACTCACTTATACAGCATCTGCCAAGCCTACTCCGACCTAAACTCTTCTGGTCTAACCTACACAGTACACACGTAACAACATTTCTCTACCCAAAGCAAACCTGAGCGGACCTGACCGAACTCAATTGGCTACAAGGAAGTTGTGAGAGGGAGCCTTTAAGCTGTGTGTCACTGGTCTAAATAACCGTGTTCCAGTGTAATTAATCTGCGGCTTCTAGCTCTGTGGCTGAGTAAAGTTGTTGCACGGTGAGGCTGGGCGTTGGTTCCAGGGCTAACTTAACAGTTACATTTTTGGCCCACAGCTGCGCCGCCAGTTCTTAGTGTGTTCTGCTGCTGCCCGCAGGTTTCGACGGCGGCATCGACATCGAGGAGGTGAGCGGCGGCTTCATCGCGCACGCCGACCTGAGCGAGGAGGGACTCTGGCTCGGCAGGAGGTGGGACTGGGTGATGAGCATCGAGGTGGGGGAGCACATCCATCCTAAACATGAGGACTTCTTCCTAGGTCACTACCACGTCAACAACCACAACAACGATTACATCAAGCAAAGGATGCGCGACAAAGGCCTCATCGTGGACGAAGATGCCGAGAAACTATTGAGGCAAGTGACGAGGAAGTACCTGATCAACACTCCCATGGTTTTCAGGCTCCCAAGCCCCAAATCGTGCCTCACTAAATAATGTTATTTATGTGCCAAACCAAAGAAGGAATGTGATCGGCCACTGTCGCAATATTAAACCTGATCAACTGTAAATTTCCCTGTAATAATTAAACCTTAATAATTACCGTGGCTGCCCAGACAACTGAGGTTTCCTTGCAGTCGCCACCAAAGTTAGAGTGTAAAAGATCAATCACTCTCTAAAAAGAAAAAGTCCGCCATGTTTGTGAAATTTGAAAACACAAATCACTTGGAAATTTGAGCTTTTTACGTGATCAAAATATTGATTTCTGTTATTCATTTTGGGGATCATGATGGAAGCCCTAATTGAGTAACGTTGAGAGGCCTCAAAAGCGTTGGGCGGAATAATCGTATTTACGTTTAAATATCAACAATCGCTCGGAAGTAAAAGTGTAGTGCAACACTACGTAGTCGTTTATCAGATGCATAAATTTTTAAGCTTGGTGACACCAGTTGTTACAAGTTTAATTTAAGCTAATCACCCCTGGGATCGCCAAGGAGATTAATTTTTGAGCACCGGTATAAATGAGTATAACGTGTGCTGAGAAGCACCTTGAGGAGTGCACAGTAGAGTGATGAACTCCTTCACAAGATTGGCGTAAGCAGAGTGGCTCCACCACTCAGAGTTAGAGTTCAACAACATCATTTGAGTGATGTTGTTGTCCTAACAGCGTCAGCAGACCTTACAACGCATTTGAGGAATGATGCTAAGCTAACGTCATCATTGGACTTCGCATCGCATAGAAGCTATTCAGATCGTGCTGCAAAGTTGATTGATTTCGACTGATATTGACATTAAGAATTTTATTACACAACCTGCATACGTCATTTAAATATGAAACAAATTTGCAATGTGAGACATCTATAGAAATAAGCTTGGTACTGGACGAGGAAAAGCCATAAATTATTTCCTGAAGGCATAGAAATGGTGGCTGAAAACTTTAGCTGACTTCTGTAAAAGGATGTTACATTACATTACATTTCACGAAACATATCCTTGCATGCGAATAATTTAAATAAATGCATCTTGTTTTGGTCTGAAATGCTTAGCACGGATTCAAAATGAATTACTCATAGGTTATTCATCAGTAAATGCTCCTACAGCGACATTGGCTTATGTTCAGAGCGCGTTTCGAACTACACAAATTTAGTCCCATTTCACGATGATATAAAGTTATTGAAAATTGTCGTTAAAACAGAAATTTCTTGCCATTTATTGTACACAAAGAGTAGATTAAACAGATAGAGAAAATAAATCTCAGGTTGGCTTATCTGATCACAATGACGTATCAAAAGAGAATTTTTCTCGCAAAAACTTTCTCGTTCCAACGAGGCTTTTGAAATCCCACATGAAAGAGTCCGGTTGAAATTAAAAGCCATGGTATATTAACTCTGATAATAATGTAAAGATCTTTCGATATGTTTGCATTTTAAACGAAATTTCATTGTTTGGTGGTTAGATATTTTCCTTTTTAGTCGCAGTTGTTTAAGCAGTTATGTCATCGATTATATCTTAGCGTTTCAGCACCAGCCAGGGGACCAGGCTCCTCCAAAGTTGCTGGGGTCGGAGGCGGGGTCGGCGGCCGGTTGATCCCTTGGGGTGTAGCGCGGCAGTTCGTCTTCAAGCATCGCCAGCATTAGATCCACGACTATCGGCTCTGCGTCGGCGAGGTCCACTGACTCGGAAGGGTCGTCTGAGAAAAGGGACAAAGGCAACTTCGTTCAAAATTCAGATAATCATAAAAGTTTCTCCGCCCAAACGAAAACCGTTCTGATGGATCATCTTCATCGGCTAAAAATGCAATTTGATAAGTGGAATTTGCATTGAAATTCATCTCAAAACACGAAAACGCTAAAATTTTAACGTATTCTGAATAAATTTAAAAGACATGCTCTACTTGACTATTGCTTTGTCAGGGAGCTTAGGAAAGATTTACTTTCACAACATTATTCTAATTCCTCACCAATGACGTCAAAGAGCTGTAGAGTCACGTTGGCATTAGCAAATATGTTACTGGACATGCGATTGAAAGGAATATGAAAGCTTGCTGTCTTCAAGCGTTCATCTCCAACTGCATTGTCGGGAACTGTGTCAGATGTAAGCTTTAGGGGGCCTTTTTGATTTTCAGAGTTTCTTGCTTCGTCATCTCGATGTTCAGGTTTGATTCGGTGCTTGAATTCTTCCCGAAGTGGAGGAGAAGGTGTGATTTCTGACGATCCAGCATTCCCAACGATAAGTTTATATTTTCTCCACCTAGTCGGAAGAAAAATTGTGTTCTTCAATCATTGATCCATTAAACATACGCACGCAATTTTGCATTTAGTTTATCTAAATAAGAATTACCCCGGCTAATCAAGGAAAGCTGAGATGACTTAAATCGATTAGTTGTTTGCAAATCATTATTTCTTCAAGCTGAACATGATTGAATGATAAAAAATCACAGTTAATTAGAAGTAAGATTTGAACTAACATTGATTAGATGCTCACATTTCCCTATTAGTTGGACCTCTGGCACAGTGACATACCTGACGGCTGCGCGTGGGCCGTTGGTTTGGTCAAGATCGTACACGAAGTAATCGCGCGCGTCTGGCAGCGACTCGTTGTTCAGAGCCTCCCATTGGTTAACGCCGTCTATGTCGGCTGGAGGCGACCCGCCAGCGAGGTGCACGAAAGTCGGATACCAGTCCGTTACGTGTACCAGCCTGATGATAGATAGTAGTTTGTAAGAATACATCCAACGGTTTATATCGTGTGAGATCTTATAAGGGAGGATTAATTGAGATGTGTATATACATTCAGCTCGCTTACAATATCTAGTGGTTTTATACCTGAAGCGAGACGTCTACTCCCTGTCCCTGGTTCCTGCATTCGATATTAAAAAAATGAAGATGTTGGCATTATTTTTCTCATGCTGAAAGTTGCCCATTCATCTGGGAATAATATTAGCACGCAATTGACATTCCGCACCTGCTGGAAATGGAGCCTGGGCGAGACAAGAGCGTCGAGTGGATAAAGGCTGGGCCGCGGGTGCCGCCCTCCCACAGCGTCTTTTTCTTGCCCCTCAGAGGCCAGTTGTTTCCCCCGGCCGAAGTTTGGCCGCCATTCTATAAAATATGCAAAATAAATTCAAATACAAATAAAAGCAAGAAGTCTCGATATCTCACGTCAGTGGTGAAGACGATGACGGAGTTGTCGTAATGGCCAGTCTCTTTGAGTGACGTCACGATCCTGCCCACCGCCTCATCCATGGCCGTGACCATGCCTGAACATTTAAGGTATAAACCAGAGAGACCAAAATAAATACAATAAAATTAGAAGACTGATAGCGGTTGCTGCGTTCAGAGAAATTTGCGGGTATTTCGGTGCTAAAAAAATATTGCACATAATTAGAACAAAAGGACTCATATTTCAGTGAGATTGAGTTTCTAAAGCACGTGAAATTAGTGAGCGCAGCGCGAAAATGAATGCTTACTATATGAGAAAAACAAATGAATGATTGGTGCATTTTGAACACACAGTGCACTACAGTGGGTACAAAAATTATGGAACTTTTTGTCGATAAAATTGTGAAATTCGCCAATCATTATTTGTTTTGTGGGCTCACAGCGTTACTGTCTGGATGAAAGTGTCACTGTCTGGATGACAGTGTCACTGTCTGAATGACAGTGTCACTGTCTGGATGACTGTGTCACTCTTTGATGACAGTGTCACTGTCTGGATGACAGTGTCACTGTTTCGGATGTTTTCTTTATTAAAAAGTTCTCTGACCACTTCCCGAGTGAGTGATAAGCTCTGATGTATCCCTAATTGCATCCATTGAATAATACGAGCGTGCCAAGCAATATACTGTATATTTCGAATCGATTGCTCACCGAGATAAATCTTCCTGTCGTGGTCAGAGATGTTGCTGTACAGGTTAGAGTATTGGGCAGGCACCTGCAGAGGCGTGTGGACGCTTTGGAAGGCCACGTACAGAAATAAAGGCGTTCCAGGGTCCCGTGACCTCAGAACTGCATCAGCTCGGTCTGAGAACAGGAACTGCAAAAATAGGACGAAATGGAATTGATTCAACGAAATGATAGGTACATGTTTTGATTTGATATAAACGCATTTGTGATGGTGCATGGGTACTTTGTTTTTATGCTCCTATATAGCTTTGCTATTGGCGTTGTCTCTGACCAAAAGTCGAGCTTTATCTAACTTTGATCAACGTGCCGTGAATTACCGACGAATAGTTACCGCTGGCCGCCCAGTCAACTAGCGTGTCACTTCGGTAGTCGTAGCCTGCCGCTCTAGGAGTCCCGGATGCTGTGGATTCTGCATTATGCAGAGGACCAAAAATTAAAGATGATTATGTTCATACAGCCAATGATGGAATATTTACAAAGTTTTAACACTCAGAAGATCTACAAAATTACTTATTTTTCAATTTAGTAGAAATCATAATTGTTTGTAGAGAGACTAATACTCAAACAGGTTTTTAAGCTTTCGCATTGTTCTCATCATATCCATTCGCGTTCCCCACGTAACTTTTAGACTACAACACTTTTGAATCTAAAGTAAAATACCAACGAATGCCTCATCGAAGTTTCGTGTGTGAGAATAATAGTCTTCTGCTCCTAAGTAGAAGCCAGAAAACGTGTCAAAGCCTCTGTAGGTGGGAGTGTAGTTCCAGTTGCAGAAACCCAAATGCCACCTGCATGAAGAAATTTTATTTTTCTTTAGAATTACTTGGACTCTACCCGCACTATTGGTCTTACAGGCGATTGAGGTAAACTAAGCAAATACAGTGTAAATCGGAGACTAAATGATATGGTTGATATTATTAGATTTTTAAAGGAGATTTTTCTCAAAAACTGCGTGACAAGTAATTCACGAATACTCACTTGCCAACAATATGCGTGTCGTAGCCCAGCCGCTTCAACTCCTCGGGAATAATGGTAGTGTTGAGGGTGAGGCCGGTAGGCGTTGTCGGCTCAATTATATCTCCCTGTTAAATAGAATCCGTTATTTCATATCTAACTGTATACCTACGAAATGAAACATACACAAATCTTAGAATCGTTTTATTGTCGATCTGTGTAAACACTTTATTCATTATTCGGAACACTAACTCCATCCGATAATTTCTGTTTTTTGGTCTTATTTTTTATTTTCCATACCAAAAGACTTAGATACAGCTTATAAAATAATAAAAATGTTAATTCAGCATCGTTCTGCTAATTAAATGTCGGTTCATTTTTTATACTTAAAATGTACTTTCCACGCTTCGAAGATAATGACGATATGAGAGCGAGAATGACTTGAAATTTTCTCTAAAATGACGAAAAGGTATAATGATTGAAACAGTTCATCAGCTAATGTTTCATTACAGCTGTGAGGGCAAATTAGACCCTTGCCTGCCTGCCGATGGTGAAGGGGCAGCGTGAGGCCATGAGGGTAAAAAGCGTGAGGCCATGAGGGCAGACCGTGTCGGTGAGCAGATGGGCTGAACGTACGACTGGTTCAGGATGATACCTTCGCTGGCGAGCTGCGCGAGGTTCGGACTCACCACTTCGGGGTTATTCCACGCAATGTCGTTCCAGCCTTCAAAAAACGAAATGGAAATTTTGACATAAATTATCAAATGATATTTCCAGCCGTTTGTGAACCTTAAAGCAAAATCAACTTACAACTGAAACAACTTGAAAAATTAGCTTCAAATATTATTCATAAAACACAAACTGTAGGCTAACAGATAGTAATGACGAATAACATCTGGTCTGTGTCACATCGCGAATTTGTACCCAGTTCAAGGCACTTTCATCACGCGTTAACCTTGACATTATTCGAGACTTTGAGGTACGCAAAAGTTATTTACGTGTGATTATGGGTTAAGGACAAAAGAGATCCAGACAAAATGGTTCCGACAAGATTGTTGACCCATACTCACCCAGATCATCTGCTAGGATGAGTATAAGGTGAGGTTTAGTTGCCGGAGCTGCACCTTCAGACAGCGTCGATGCGTGCAGCAGCAGCAGCGATAACAGAGCGCATGACGCCCGCATCTTTTGACGCCTCTGCATGTGGATTAAACGAATTCAATGCAGAAAATTCAGAACAAGTAATCACCAAAGTATTATCTGGGTAGATTTTTTATTTATTTGATTTGTAGTCTTTATATATTTAAGTGAGTTTCACTTTCTCAGATTTTTGGTAGCATTGAGTTTATGAATGTGAATAAATTAATGGGTGATAAGAAGTTAATATGAGTTAGGCGACACTGTCGACACATGATAACTTCTCGAGTAAAAATGATAATGTTTATAATTAGACGTCACCCAATCATGTGATTATTATCTGAATCAATTATGGCTACGGCGAAAAGTAGGTTTCGAGTTGTATAAACAGCAAATAGATTTCAGCATAAAATATTCTTGCGCGACACTGATGAGTGGTACCTTGCTTCGAAAAATTTTTTCTTAACATCAACGCGAACAACCAACTAATTATAGTTTAAATTAGGACGTGGTGATTGCCCCAATAATTGGGGAATTGCCCTAATATTTGAGAAATTGCCTAATATTTGGGAAATTGCCTCGCTAAGACGGGACTTTGGATGAAAATTAGAAACACGTGAATAATGTAGGGACGTAGCGTGAGGGACGTAGCGTTTTATTTATGCCTAACACATAAAAATGTATGACAATTTTGAGATTTGGGAAGGTATAGAAAGCGAAAGAAAATTGTATTGAAGGCGCTGAAACGTATATAAAATGTGCGAAGTAGATTAAGAAAACGAATGCAGAGAATGAGCGAAAAATGTCAGCCAAACTCAACGAAAACGTATTGAAAATTTAAAGAAATAAAGTGTGAGGATGACGTGAAAAATATTCAGAAAATGCTTAGAAATTCTCAGAAAATTTTGGAACCCTAGGAAATTGCACGGAAATGAAGGAAAATGCAGACACTCGAATAAAAATGTTTGAAAATTATGTATTGTTTAAAAATTAGTGAAAAATTGTGGAAAATATTTGGAAACTACTTTTTTATTGCAATTCGAAAATAAATCACAGATATCTTAACTATTCCCAACCAGCTAATAATAATAATAATAATAATAATTATATATACATTATTTCTACTATCACGTCCCTGGCTCATTAACTGTATGAACATCGAGGAGCGGGTTGGTTGCAGAGCAGCAGCTCAACCAGTGACCGGCTAACTTGAAATGGACAGCTGGCTTGCAGGGTAGCTTATCGTACAGAACTGCAATGTATCAGTAAGCAGCGCCTCTGTGCTGGACAAAAAACAGGCCGTAATCTTATATCTCGTGGGAACCTTTTCAACTGTGCTGCTCGGACAATTTTGGGCTGTTTTGAGAGAAACGCTGTATTGTGTCACTCTTCTTTTTTCTTCAAAATTTTCATTAATCTCCGGTATTTTACTTGAACTATAATAAAGTACCTGAGGACAAGAGATAGAATAGCATTACGAAAGTACATACCAGTATGTATTTTATGCATGTATAATTGTGCATAATACATACTCAATCCTTCTATCAATGTGCGTAATGATCAACAGATAAAAGTTATTTTTAAGTAACGTTGCTCTCAAATTATGAATGATTGGAGTACCTCAGGAATCAATCTCAAAATTTTGGTTATTTGGGAAATTTGTGTTGCTTATACGAACAATAATACTAGTGACTGAAAGCTGTTATCAGTCGCGAAATACCTCAGCGCTACCTCTAGCTTCATTTAATTTCACATAAGTGTATCTTATTTGGTTGCCTGTGGCTCAGTTATTATGCTCGAAAGTAAAGAGCGTTGAATTTTTCAATAGTCATTCTCATGTGTCTGAAATGCTGAACGATACCACACAGATAGATCACGTACAAAATAAATGATAGAACTATGGCTTCATCTTTTAATCCTATATTCTTTCATTCGTACTCTATGTTGATTGACGAAGACCTTAACCTCCTCAACTATATTTACACAATTTACCCTTGTATAAACTCCCTATTACGAGCTTCTCACTTCTGGCTTCAACGACCATAACATTTGCTATCAACTATCATCAAACATTATAACCAACCTTCTTCACAAGAAAAAATAATTTAAAAAAATATTTGGCAGGTGTTTTTCTGAATGCCTAGAAGAATAATTGATATTTTTGGAAAATGAAAATGTACTTCTCTACTCTAACTCCAGTGTAAGGACTTATTAGATATTTTAAAAGAATTTATAACAGGGGCAGGGTGGCCCAGTGGTTACATAAACGCTGAAACCGCTATTATATTATTATTATTATTATAACACTACTTTGTTCAAATCATAATTAACCAATAATTTTAAAGTGAATTCAATGCTTAGCAAATTTGCCACAGTTGAACTGTAAAACGTTTTTATTTTCAGTTTAAAACTTTACTGCATGAATACAATACTGAACTTCATGAGTCCGTCGCCATGACGTCGCACATTCAGCTGTGCGCAGTCATGCTGACCATGGTTGAACTAATACAAGGTTGACCCACGCGCAGCTGCGCCTTGCGCATGTTATTTGTTAATCCACCCGTGATGTCACCTTGGTCGTTGTGACGTCACCGTGTGATTTAAACTGATTTGTAACACCTGTTTTGCTTAACATATGACTAGTTACTGCAGTAAATACATTTATGGGGCCATTTTATGAGGTCAATTTTTTCATGGTTGAACTAATACAAGGTTTTTCCTAGTTCAGCTGCGCCTTGCGGATATCATTTGTTAATCCAACTGTGACGTCACCTCGTGACGTCATACTTATTTGTAACATCGGTTTTGCTTAAAATAAGACTAGTTGCATGCAGTAAATAAATTTTCTTGTGGCATTTTGTGAGATTAATTTTTTTATAATGCTTTAGAATTTAGATGACATAAAAACAATGCGTTGATCTACACTATTTACATTTTGTGCCTCTAGAGATGAGCAGAACGGCGAAAAATCGTCATCGCCGTGCGTCAAACTTATATTAGTTCGACCATGATGCTGACGATGTGACGGACGTGTGCCCGAGAGTGATTTCAAAATGATGTAAATAATGGCGACAAATCTTTCCAAATTAGCTGAAGCCATTACATGTGCAGGTTGGCTGAGTAATACGCAACCATTTCAGTCGTCTCGATCGAAATGAACTAACTATCATTCGTTCCGAAAGATAACTAGTTTATTTATGAATTTCAGGTAGTTTCGTTCAGAAATGAGCCACTTAAAATGTGTACGGTTGTGTAAATGTGGCATTTTTGATCGTATTGAGGGAGTTGTAAACTGTTTGGTTGCGTAGAAGATACGTTTTTTTTGTAGTTCAGTCAATAATGAAATCATGTGAAATCTGCAATGATGCCAGTCGCAGAGTATTGATGGTTATATTTTGAATTTAGAGAAGATCTGTTCAGAAGTGAAGGACTTGTGAGCAGAAATTGGGTTTTGCTCTTAGGAATCGGCGACTGGCCTAATAAACGCTAAAACCGCTAGTACATACATTAACACATATTAATTCCATCCGGTTAGATGGACCGTCAGTCAAAAAGCGGATTGAACTACTTGCCTTCCGGTTCACGCAGATTGGCACTAATTCTCGAGCATTTTGCAAAGGAAAATGTCGTCCTCACGCTTAGTTAACCTTCGAACCGCCCGTCAAGTTAAACCTATGTTATCATTAGATAGAGCTGAGGCAAGGACCCGTGTAATAAATCTTTATAAGGCTTGGTACAGACAAATCCCTCAAATTGGTAAGTACTATTAGCTACAATAATACAGTTTATCTCTGACCGTCGTGACCGAGATTCTCTATTACTCCTATTGAATATTCTGCAGTCTGTACTCCTAGTCTCCTACTATCAGTAGGCAGTACTAGGTACTGTACCAGTATGGCAGTACCATACTACCACTGTATGATCTGTACCAGTAGTTTCCTCAATTCTAACATGATTGGTCATCTTTTAGGCAAGTCAATAATGTAAGATTGGGCTGTGCCGCTGTGGGAATAGCTATAGGCCTAGGTATTAAAAAAACTCAAGCTGGCAGGCACTGTGAAACTATAGAAATGGTGAAAAAAAGAAATTGAATGTGTATCACCAATTTCTTTTCACTTGTTTGACAAATTGGTACATTTGATGTTCTTATGAAGTTATGAGTTATGACCTTTTCTTAGCTATTTTCTTTAGTGAAATATTAGAAAAGTTGCTTATTTCCCATTTGCAATTTCTGAAAGGTACCCATGAAACAATAGTTTTTACCTGCAAATTTAGGGAGCTTTTGCCTGATTACCTATTAGGTTGATATTTCAAATAGGTTTCTAATTCTATTCATTATGATTCTATTTCTATATTTCTATAGGGTAGTGACAAGAGAAAGGACTTTTAAACAACTGAAGTTAGGAATTTTAATTTAAATTTTGATTAAAGACAAATAGGCACCTAAAAATCTTCTATTAAATGTAAAGGTAACTTCAAACAAATAACTTAAAATCTGATTATTTTTTGAGATTTCATATCTAGAATGAAGTATGATTTTGCAAGTGTCAATTGTTGAAGTAGCAAGTTGCCACTTTCTCAGAGTTGGCAAAGCAATACAATATAACATACACATATACAATACCACACACACAAATTGCAATCCACAAAATAAATTTAAAATTAAAGAATTAATTAGTAAAATATTCTGCTTCAGGAGGTTGCAAAAAATGCCAACGATGAATGATTTAATGACTAAGACCTAATTTTGTAGATTGCACAGCTACTGGCATCATGGCATGACCTCAACTCAAAGACACTTTACTCATTTGTTCATATTTCAAACTTCACGGCTCACTCCACCAGTGCTAAAGACGTTAGAACTGTGTATCTCAAGCCATTAGAATTGAAAATCTTTGCAATATTGCTATCAAAAAGATTCATAATAAAAAATATTCCCTATATCACAATAAAAAAATTTTCTCAATATCCAGGCAACAGATGATGTGCCACTATGTTTGCCAGCTCAAAACCAACTAAAGCATTGGAGGAGGGACCTTGTGGTGACATCGCATGCACAACATATTGTGTGTGACGTCACATGCCATACATCATAAAGTAATTATTTGTAGGAACATTTGTAAGCAATTCTTGACCTAAAATATGGTTTAATTTTTTATTAAATTTTATAAAATTGTATAATTAATAATTGTTTTTGTTTAATATCAACAACTAAACTTGTGGTCAATTAATTTGATTCTATAATAATTTTCTTTATGGCTGTAGCTCCTAGAAAATTGCTTACAGATAGATTTTTTTACATACTACTCAGAAAGTTGTAATGAGGCAATTCACATGACATGAGTTTTCACATTTTACATGGAAACATGGGGATACAACTTTTATGATAAATTAGTAGCATAAACACATGTCTAATTCTTCACATAAGCAATCATTGTCAATAGACTTTCTTATAGTACTATACATATGATTGGACCAATTGGTTCTAAGAGCAGTTTTGAGCAACAAATATAGCCAAATTATAATTTATTTGACCATTGTAAATTATAAGGATAAGAGAGATACTTAGAAGTTTCTCTATGTTAACAGCATTGAAATCCATGTGGAAACATGATTTTTTTTTATATTTTTTAAGCATTTAATGACTTGAGTCCTGACCTCAATAAGTTCTTTCATTTCCCAAAATTTCAAATTTCTTGTCAGTTGAATCCTTTGAACTTATGTTGCCTTTGTTGTTGACCAACGCTGTTTAATGTTTATTTAGTATGCCATTGTGTCGTGTGAGAAGTGGTGTTAGTGTGCTGTGGACCAGTCCATAAACATTGATAATTGACTCAAAATCTCAAAATACCATGTTCTTTTATGTTAACTATAGAATTGCATCATGATGCACTGTTGAATTACATCATGAGGTATCTATAGTAATATAAAAGAACATGGTATTTTGAGATTTTGCCAAGAGATTTTGAGAGACCATACCAATGTTTACAGACTGGGCCACAGCACAGTAGCACCACCTCTCACATGACACAATGGCTTACTAAATAAACATTAGACAACATTGGTCAACAACAAAAATAAAATTCCGAGGAGCAACAATGATTTTGATAAAGAATAAAAAATTTTAATAATTAAAATCCATTTACTGGTTGCTCAATGAATGTTGAGTTTTATAAATGGAGCTTGAATAGGTAATTATGTTAACAGTTTCAACTAAATGCTTAACAGTGTAAGTCAACTAAATATTATTAAATGTACTATATCACTGAAATGCATTGACTTGCTAGGTACTCAGTAATAAAGTACAGTTGGTTTCATCACTTGAAAGTTTATCTATATTGACAGATTTCTTGGACACAGAAGTGTGTTACAGCATAATCATACATTAAATTGTGTGTTCCATCATAATCATACATAAAATTGTGTGTTATAGCATAATCATACATAAAATTTAGTGTTCCAGCATAATCATACATAAAATTGTGTGTTCCAGCATAATCATACATAAAATTGTGTGTTCCAGCATAATCATACATAAAATTTTAAAGCTATTTATAGTCATGGCTAGGAAAGTGGATATATTTTATTACTAATACACCTGCTGTTGCAAATGAATGTGACCTGATGTATTGGATAAAAATCTAGAAGTGATCACTCTCTAAAAATAAAAAATTGGCCAAAATTTTTGCATCAAGCGAACTACATGGCTGGATAAGCCTGCATCAATTTTAATATATGATCAACCTCTATATGATCAATAGAACAATTCCATGCTTCAAAGATACTGCATTATGAAAATGGTAGACCATGGTTGACAGTTTTCCTTCTCCATGGATAGAAATTTTTTATCAATATGGCCAATGTGAACAAGAAATATATATATAATTAAGGCCTAGATTGCATTGTGGGATTCTTAAAGAGATACAAATATCTTTGTCAAACCGGTCTTGCTCCACACCTGAGAGGCTCTGTTAAAAATCCCATTGTGCATATAATTTTCATGACATCTATTGTGTAATTTTCATGATTTAAAGGCAAACTTAATTTTTTTATTTTGATTTATTCCTTGGTCATTTACAAATCTATATATCATGTGTTGAAAAACTTTCACCAAGTGAATAATTGGGAGATCCCTGGAAAGCTACCCAGTGCAACTCTGACTGAAACTTGTTGAGTGGCAACAATTGAAATCATAGTTGAGTAGTTTAATATATTTTAATTGGATTTTTAAATCCTGTAGGTACCTATATATTTTATCAAGGACCCAATTACTGGCAGTAATCAGGATGCAATATCCAAGTTACTGTAGGTATATGTTGGAGGCACAAGTACTGGAATAGTATAGGTGCACTAGCTCTTGCTAGTGTAGGTATATATATACGGTACAGATTATCTACTACTTTATTATGGTCTGAAATTAACTTTCTACGGCATGGAACATGGCACTATTTTGACCTTTTTTGTGGTAAAATTTCAAGTCAGATATTGTCAGCATAATTTCATCTTCTTTTGTTTTTACTAAAAGGTTCATTGAAAAGAGAATTTTTTTTTACATGAAGGCAAAAGGTGATGTTGGTTGAATTTTTTCAAACCTGACCTGTCAACATTATTAGTATGTTGATAAGCAAAAGATAATTTTCTTCACAACATAGCAGGTGCTAATGTGTTATCTGCTCCTAATTCTTCCCTTCATTTCCAGCAATTGATTATGATCTTCCAAAGACACAATCAGAATGCAAGAAGAAGCTCAAAGAAATGTTCATGAAGAACAAGGACGTCAAGGACATCAGAATAATTGATGCTCTAGTTATAAAGGTAATTTTAAATGACATTATTACTAAACTGTTTCTTCATTTCATTTTGTGAGAGGTATTAGTTTTGAGTGCTTACAGGATGTCATCAATTTTGTTCTGTACGTTTTGCATTATGATCAGCATTTTTATGCTGTGTTTGTCCAAATGTTATCAATACTCATTATTAAATTTTATTCTTTAATGGAACATTTTGAAGATAAAAATTTTCATTGCATTTAAAATTCAATTTAACTTGATTTACCTAGTATTTTTTGTGTATTTTCTTGACTTGCATTCAGCAAGTTTAAATTCATATGGTGATAACAGAAATTCATTAAGTCTATGCTTAAATTTAACTAATAGTATTCAAAATCTTGGAATACTAGTTAAATTTTATGTTGGCTTCAGATGTATTTATTTTGTTCCCTTGTCTTGACTGAGGATAGTAATAGCAATAATATTTACCTTTAGAGTTATCAGTTACTTGGCAAGTTAGAGAAACAAGGGTCATGCGGAAAGTAGGTAGTACCTGTTTGGGAATTGAACAAAAGGTAGTAAATATTAACAAATGTAAACATGTTTTTTGAAAAGAACATGTATTACACTACTTCTCTGCATAATCTCCAGACAAATTTAAGCATTTTTCGTATTGTATCACAAGTTTTTGTATACCAGTGTCATATTACTCCGCCGCCAGTGTTTCTGGGATTGGCAAGGTGTAGGTAATGCTCATCGATTTCATGACCCGTGGAGACACATTCAATGCCAATGCATACTGTGCAACATTAAAAAAATTGTTCAAAATTGACCCCAAAGTCTGTTGTCTACTGGCGTCATTCTCCTGCACGATGATGCCAGGCCGCATACGGCTCGGATAACACAACAACTTCTCCAAAAATTAAAGTGAGAAATTTTCGACCATCCACTCTACAGTCTGAACTTGGCTCCATCAGATTTTCATTTGTATACGAAACTCAAGGGTTTCGTGGCAGGGACAAAGTTTCAAAATGACAAAGAACTGAAAGAACATGTGACTGCGTATCTCAATACACTGGCGGCGGAGGCATATGACACTGGTATACAAAATCTTGTGACACGATATGACAAATGCTTCATTTTGTCCGGAGGTTATGTAGAGAAGTAGTGTAATACATGTTCTTTTCAATAAACATGTTCCGTCAACTGGGGTGACTTCGGCTGCCGGGGTAACTTCGGTCGCGTTTTTGATTTTGTTTTGCAAACAAAAACGGGGTCGTAAACGCCGGGGTCATAAACGCCAGGGTCATAAACGCCAGGGTCGTAAACGAGGTCATAAATGCCGGAGTGACTTTGGCCATCGTTTATGACCCCGCTTTAGTTTGCAAAACAAAATAAAAAACGCGGCCGAGTCACCCTGGCGGCCGAAGTCACCCCAGTTGACGGTTTACATTTGTTAAATATTTACTTCCTTTTGTTCAATTCCAAAACGGGTACGTACTATTTTCTGGATGACTCTTGTAATATTAAATTTGTGTTCAATAATCACCAAAACCAAAAGAGGATTTAGAGTCTTTAAATGAAAATCCTTTCATTATTTTTATTTGTGGTCCTTGACCAAATCCAGGAGAGATACTAATGAGATGTACATTCCAGGGCCAGATGGAACTGAAAGAAACTGTGCAAGTGTGGAAGCAGAAGCACGGAATAATGGCTTTCTGGGCCCCAACTGTTGAACCCAAGCCAAAGGATTTCATGGGCAAGTTCTTGGACGGTCACAACTGAAATTTATGTTCAGTTTTAATCTGCTTAATTTGTACAGATTTATTCTGGAAGGAAACTCAGCTACCTAATATTGTGTGCCACCTGATTGACTATGAAAATTTTCAGGAGTTAGTTTCAAGGTTTAGATGATGCATTGCATGCTAGTCTTGAACTGAGTTGAAACATAATTTGGCATCATTTGTCACGAATTTGTTTCTCTCATGTAGGTAACATTTTATTTTGAGCAATGAGATAAATATGTTATCAATTATTGATAGATGCCATTTCCTAATTATATTCTTTGTTATGCAATGCAAAGTTTGAAAGGACCGAAATTATGTAAGCAAACTACAAGCTTTATTTTCCCTAGTGTTGTGATGATGCTGCCTATCCGTACCAGAAATGTAATTATTTTAAATGAGGTGCATAAATTACAATAAACTTGAAAGCAACACAGTTTCAATTTAGTTCCCATTCAGTAGCATTGAGAGAATCTTCACTTCTGAAGCTTTTACAAGTACCTACCAAATTAGTTGCATTGCACAATTAGCCTGATTTATATGAAATTTTGGTTTAAAAAGAATATCTCATGCTAATTCAGTTATGAGTGATAAACTAGCTTTTTGTAATTGCGGCAAAGACCTGCTTGTATGCAATCTTGAAAACCGCATTTCAAGTATCACTCCGGACTCCAGGTATCTGGTTGCCCAGGATGCTCTGATTCTTCACATCATGTAGACCTTGTTCTCAGTACCACTTCACAAGCTGGGCTATTGACACTATCTCCGAGGTGTGATTCTCAGTACGGCTTCAGAGAACGGGTCCTCAGCACCATCCTGAAGACCAAACTCCATTGAAGTGACTTGGATCCCCGGCAGAGGACGTGGGTGGTTCGTGAGGCTCCACATATTTCCGTAACTCGGGCACGAGGCGCCCTAGAATTCCTTCCAGTATCTCAGGCTCTCTCTCTGCCAGGTTGTGCCGCTCATATGGGTCGTCTGTGGGTTGCGAGAAAATTTTTGTATTAACATTGTATTTTAATTTTCTCCCTTAATGCCTTGTCAATGTTTAAGATTGTTTTGTCCAATTTTTGTGTCGATTTGCAATTGTTCGGCTATTCCCTTGTTTTGGTGACTGGCAAAGCTCGACAGGAATGCCCGCTTCATATAGATTATATGTCAAGTGCCTGTACGTAATTTATTCAGGAAAATTTTACTTCACTGATGTTAGCTCGTGACTGTATATGAAATAGGCCCTCTAATTCTAAGTTTTCTGAAGCCAAAATGGCCCCACAACATTTCTCTCACAGTGAAAAAAATTCATTCGAGTTTTAAATACAACATTCTTATTTTTTGGAATGTACTAATCATATACACCTGCGAGGTTATAGAGGTGAATGGGTATCCCAGACACGAGAAAATCGTTGGCGCTGCGGAAAGTGCTGATGTCTTTTTTTCGGTTACCGACGACTCTTTGTGTAGATTTTAATTTTATTTTCGTAGGTTTGAGCCTCTTGAAGGCCTTATGTTGAGCCTTCCTCTCCTTCTTGTCTGCCTTAGTTCCTTGCTTGCGTGCGTGTCTACCAGGATCTTCGTCCTCGACAGATGTGTTGCCCGTGGGGAAACTTCGCGCGTTGTCATCGCGACTCTCCAGCTTTTCGTCATTTGTGCCGTCGTAGTCGTATTCTGTGCGTATATAATACGATATTACTCTACATTCCTCCAAAATGTATTCATTATGAAATGGAATTGGATATACGGGAATAATTTCTTGACGAATAATCTCGATGTCTGCGTGGGGACCTCATTGAAGCATACAAGTTTACTCATGGCTCATACAAGGTCCCAGAAGGATTACTAGAATTTGAAACAAGAACCAACACCAGGGGTCACGGCAATAAGCTAAAAAAAAATTGCGGTGTAACACGTCCATGCGACAACATTTCTTCTCGCTTCGAGTCACCGACTTGTGGAATAGCTTCCCTGATCGCATCGTATACGCTCCGAGTATGAACGCCCTCAAGAACAGACTAGACGAAGCTATGCAGGAGCATGTGTTCAGTCCTAAAATGCCTAGCAAATTACGGACCAGGCAATAAGTCCAGAAGGTATCTCAATCAATCGGGTTACCAAGGCCAGAAGGTATCTCAATCAATCGGGTTACCATGGCCAGAAGGTATCTCAATCAATCGTGTTACCAAGGCCGGATCCTTTGTGAATCAAGTTACGAAAAATTCAAGAATCGGCAACAGGCCATGGGCCTATTTCTTCAATGCCGGCACTTCTATTCTATGTAGAGTGAGTAGTGAGTGTCATCAGATGAGGCAATGTTTCTGAAGACTTTAGAAGTACGTTTCTCGCACATCAACATTAGTCAATCTGCGTTTTGGAATGAAATAAGGAGAATCACGTTTTGAGTTGACATTTGCTTCAACCTAGAGACGTCAGCCAAAAGGCAGAAGTGAGAGTGTACGTAATTTAAGTGGAAACACTTAAGTTATAATAATTCAACCTGGGCAAGAGATCATTACCAAGTATAAAGAAAGCAAACGAACGTGTGTGCTATCTCGCTGTTCGTTCAGCATGGCATGCCGAAGTTAACGATCTAGACTTTTCGCAGCAACCAACCTGTTGAAAAGACTGCTCATGTTACGAAGAGAGTTGCCGACTAGCAAGCACGGGCCTCAAATAATGATTATACGAGAAGCTGCTGAATACACGAAAAATTTTTTTACGAAAGATCTCTACGTGAGGATCCAATAAACCAATCATAAAACGAAGGAAATGTGTGAAATTTTATAGGTCATAGGCTAATACTATCAGCGAACTAAACTTGCCTACTGGGGGCCCAAAATCTGCCATGTCTGTGGAGCTGGACAAGTAGAGCTCCTGGTCAACATAGCGCGGTGCGGTATCGTTGATACGAGGCCTTGGTGGCACGATGCTCATCGCTGCTCCTGAGTCGAGGAAGCCCTCGAGTGTTGCCTCGGTGATGTTTTCGTACTCCGGTGGTACCCCCCAGCCCTTGTCCTTGAAGTTACCCAGTATAACTTTGTAGTTCTTGTACCTACAATGGAAGTGTGTGTATCGTTTGGCATGATGTGAATACTGTACACATAACGCATTGAAAAAAACGTCTTAATTACACGTCATTTATTCGACGTAAATTATGGCCGTCAAGATGTTATGCCTTATGCAGCTGCAGAAATTATCGGGTCTTAATTGGATGTTATGAAATAATTAACTTACGATAGCTGAACAGAGCGATCTTTTGAAAAATGTGATCAAAACCGTAAGAAAAAATTCGTAATTACCTACGACTTCTCGTAGTGACGTCGTGATCTTGCAGTATATTCTGAGTAAACGACCTTCATTGAACACTGATTCCATTCAGGAATTCCTTGAGGTTTCAAAGCACGTAATCTTAGCGCCCCACGTTGCTAAGCTAGCTTGCGTTGCTTTCGGGTTTGATTGAGACCAAAATCGTAGCAGCTCTAACTAGGCACTGGCCTAGCTAAGGCCGGGCCACATTCCTGCCTCTACTCTCTTCGACCGCTCTCGCTCAGGCAGCATCTGAGCTGACCGCCTAGCTAGCTAGCTGAGGCCTCTGTCGTGAGGGACCGCCATGTGGGACTGCACCGGTGTTCTGGCGCTACACGTCGCTCTTCAGTGCTGAGGCGCCTGGTGCTATTGACCGCATGGCAAAACTGAGGCTCCTGGGCTGGCTCCATAGTATTGCTAAGGCCCAGGCTCTACTCACCGCAAGTCAGTGTTAAAGTTTCTGACCCTACTGACCGCATGGCAGTGCTGAGGCCTCTGTGGTTGGTCATTTGGTAGATCATTTGTTGGCGCGGTGGAGGTGCGCGTCCGTTCAGCGCCTCCCATTGGTCGACGCCGTCCAAGCCCTCACTCGCGGATGCGGGTGCCCCAGCTGCTCTCAGCAGTGTGGGATACCAGTCGGTCGCGTGGAAAAGCCTGCAGTAATTCAACGATTGCTAATGCGCTGTCTTTCTGTTATTTTACATGTGGACGAGTTGCGATAGCTGAATCGGGATGATTTTTATCTCTACACCGATATAAAAAGTGGCTATTGACTGGTCAGACTTTTGTTTTTGCTAGAAGCGTTCTTTCTTTTCTTTAAAGATCAGTCATTGACTGGCCTCCTGAACCGATAAATATTTTGGCAGTTTCTGTCACACTAGCGCATGAATAAAAATTCTAAAAGAACTACAATATTCCAACCATAATTATTATACGTATAAAATTGTAATTGCTTGCAACATTTGCAATGGAGTTGACTAGGTCTGACCCAGCGTAAACAACTGGCAAATGACCTATAAGGTTTTACCCTGTTTAGACAACTGACCAGGTTTACCCTGTCTGGACGAGTAGTAAGTTAAGTGACCTTGCAGGTCTTACCCTGTGTAGACAACTCCTCGCTGCGCTAGTCTCAGCGAGCTCACCACGGCTGGCACGCGAGTTCCGCCTTCAAAAAGCGAACCTTTGCTGCCCCTCAGGGGCCAGTTCAGCCCCATCTTGTTCCAGGAAGCTCCATTCTGGTACATGCAGATGCATTGAGATCACGAAGTTTATGAAGCATTTTTTTCATTCTCAAGCATTGTTTATGTAAGGAAGCGTTTAAATGGCCGGGGGTTCTTCAAAGTGCACCTAATTTTGGAGGAATTTAATTGATAGTTAGCCTCATCCTTTACAAACGTTGAGCTGACAACACAGGTAATGAATACGAGATATCATATCAGTCGTGGCTTCCTCTACCCTGCGGCACTAGTAAAAATTATTTAGTGATGATTGTAATTTAGTGATTGTAAATGTGATTGTAAATGTGATTGTAAATGTTCAGTTTTAACTCACATCTGACGAGAACACGATGATGGAGTTCTGGAAGTGGCCGGTCTCTTCGAGAGCTGCCACTACTGAACCGACGGCGTGGTCGAGCGCTGATACCATGCCTGCAATGGGAGGTCAGTGATCGGGATCCGGTATTTGCGTTCAGTGGTGAGCTTAAATTTAGGTTATCCTTCTCATGAATTATTATTAGCATTTTAATATTATATAATATCATATTATAAATAGTCTGATCCGTTAAAGCTTGTTATTATATATTGTACAGACATTGATGTGATAAATGAAAATTTACCTGGTGTACACTTATTCACTTATATGACGCTTATTCTGTGATACTCATAATCGATATCTACGGAATTGTCATGCTATTGAGCTCTCTCAAACGGTATTATTTCTTGCCTAAGAATGAATGAAAGCTAACCAGGATCATAAAATAAATAGTAGTGGCAGCTTTGATATTGCCGTGCTGGCCTTTAGCCAATTCAAAACTAGTACGCCACCATTGAGATTTCGATCAAAATTTTCATTCTCATGCAGCTGCGGGTTTAGAACATCCAACTCGCTGCTACAAACTTCTTTATCTTAGTCACTCGGCCGTCTCGAATATAAAAATAAGAAATAGTAAAATGTTTAATCGACCATTGGCTTGCAAAATCTTGTAATCAGATCAAAGTTCAGTGCCTCCCCACCCAAAATAATCCTCCTTTTAGGGTTTGCTTCGTGTGGGTAGAGTTCCAAAAACCGCCTGGGAACCTGTAGGGGACCGTGCGGGTTCTGGAACGCCGCGTACAGGAACAACGGATCTTTAGGGTCGCGCGATCTCAGCAACGACTTGATTTTCTTCACGAACTCGAACTGGCGAAAAAAATGTGATATTTTAGCGTCACCTTGTGGATAAGCTGAATATAGTAGATTTACAAATGCCAAAATATTATTTGTGATGAGTTGAAAAATTATCTTGTTGATGGGAACCATTCAACGAATAAAAGAAGCCTTCAACGAAGTATTTTTAAATCGTACTTCCTCATACGTATTCTTCTAATCAGGTCATTATACTCCTGTAAATCTCAAGCGGCGTATCTATATCCTTCAATTATTTCATTGGAGTGAAATGAATCTGAGATAATATTCTGGACTGGGGTTTTTGGTTCAAATTTCAATTATATTTGCCTAAAACGTAAGAAATTTGAATGTGAAGTTATACTTTATTTAATTGCAAACATCACTTAATAAATTCCTTCGTTCATTCAGTTTCAGCTCATTTTTAATGTAAAAATATACAAGTATGTTCCAGAAGTGACGCTACAGCAGAAAAGATACATGCTTCATTCAGTGCACAAAGCGAAACCAATGCCTTCTTTGTCGAGTAGACGAGATACACACACGCGTCATGAAGCTTATTTAATGCTCATAAACAACTCGGGGGCGAACGGATGATACTGAATTAATGGCAGGTTTACCGTAGAATATTTGCCGACCGCCTCGCTGCTTGCCGTGGCGTTCGAGTGGAAATCCAGGCCTGATGCCTTCCTCACCGTGGCTGTCAGGGAACGGAAACTTTTGATCACCCGTGATGCATGAAATATCTACGTGAATGTATCGTTTTCTCGGCATAGTTATCTATGCCGAACAGAAAGGAAAATTTATCCATGGTTGAAGGTTTTTTTCTGCTATGAATTCCAGCTAACGCGTATTGAAATAGAATTAAAAAAATTTAACTCAGTACTCACTGCAGTGAGTGACAGATATATAGCGCATTTTCTCGTCGACGAACACTTGAGGTCACGGACAGACGGACGGACAGACGGACAGACAGACGGACGGACGGACATGGCAAGCAAAATAGTGAATTTTTTCCATAAATGAGAAAGTGCGCTAAAAAGAGAATTCGTTTGAATCGATTTTCCCAGAGAGAAAGCAGCTCTAATTAAATCTCTTTAATTTTTTACAGATTTCTGTTATGAGAAACTTTCATTTCCTGTGTTTACTGTTGTGATATTCTGCTTCTTGCATTCTACTGTATCCATAATTTACATACATTGATTTTGATTTAAGAATGAAACAAGTTAAACATAAGAAAATGCTGGCATTAGGTTGATCTTGACCGAATTATACACTATTAACAGAGTTGGCATTCGGGCTGCTTGATGAAGTGAATTTCAATTTCTGCTCCGAATTATTACAAACTTATTTAATGGCGACATTCTTACATTTTTCTCCAGATGGATCGACTCTCTTGGTGCCCTGCGAGTGCTCGTAGTAGTCCAGGTTTCCCGTGTAGAAACCATAGAAGGAATCGAAGCCTCGCTTGATAGGCGTGTACTCTTCCTTGCAGAAGCCTAGATGCCATCTGAGAAAATGGTAATAAAGCAACATTAAAATTGTAATAAATGACCTCGGTGCCATCTGAGAAAATGGTAAATCTTAGGCATATAATTTTGTCAATTTGCTGTAATTTCTCGATTAAATGCGGAGACAACTTGCTCGTGTTTACGTTATCAACATATATTGATTATGTATTACATTAAATTCTAATTATCAAATTATCACGCAAACTACAATAATTGAGAAGGATGAATGAAAACTTTCTGTGCGATTAGAGCACTCGTTACATAACCTGGACCCTTTAACTGAACCTGGATGAATTACGGTTGAATCAAATATTATTCGAATTTTAATTCGCATAATCCTCATTTTATTACTGTGTCATTTTGATTTTTCGGACTGACTTGCCGACCGCGTGTGTGGAGTATCCAAGCATCTTGAGGCTCTCCGGCAGCAGCGTCAGGTTGAGCGGTAGGCCGGTTGGCTGCAGAGGCTTGATGTTGGCTGACTAGTCATGGACAGGAACATGCAGAGAAAATAGAACTCAGTACTCACTGCAGTTAGGGACACAGAGCGCATTTCTCGTCGACAAAAATGTGAAATCGCAGATGGATAGACAGACAGGCGGACATGACGAGCACAATAGGGCATTTTTTTCCATAAATGAGAAAATGCTCTAAAAATACCGATAAACACTGATTCCATACTTAGTGCTCATATAATGAGTACAAACAAGGTAACTGATAGTGCTGTGGGATAAACTGATAATTTTATTTGTGTTTTTTTTTTTCACATTTGCACTCAATAGATGCATAATAATATTTGAGTGCACTTGAATTTTTCCATTCCTCGTATGCCAGCTAGTACCGCAGTATCATCAGTTTGATGATGTTAACTTAAAGGTTAAGTAACACGATGTTAATGCCTGCCTGATGCGATAGGATTTTACTGACGCCACAGGCGCGACAGCTCATTCAGAGACGACACCTTCGTACATGTTGCCGCAACAACTAATTTAGCCTAATAAAAACATTTAAAATCAACACAGCTTAAATTTGATAGTCGTTATCAGGTTCAGATATGAAGTGGGAAGTGTAGTTTCAGGCGTAAACATCAGGAAGGCATAATTCAGAACCTGATTTTACCATACCAAATATCTATAAAATCTACCTTAGGATTTATTTCTCATTTGTCAAACCTTAGATTTTTCCAATATTTTTTAACCCCTATCTATCACTAGCCATGCAGTAGTAGGGCGATTTGTGGGAAATCGCGAAAAAAGTGAAGTTAAACAGAGTGGACAGACGGCAAGGAATATTTTTAGATCTGAGTCTGCGGGATGTCCACGACATTCTTTGCTAAATACTATTTTTATCGACAAGACGATGAAATTTACTCATAGAAGCTCGAGTAAATGTCCAAATCACTTTCCATGAAAATTATTTGGACATTTTCCTGATAAATGCGATTACAACTTGAAGAAGTCTGGATTGCACAAACGCTGCGTTCAATGAAGTTGCTGGCTTGTTAATTTCTACTATAACTTCTACATCGCTACTGTGCCTTCGGTGACGTGACAACATGACGGTTGTTCGTACCTTCATTCCGTTCTTGTGCGGGTATCGGCCGGAGATGAGAGCAGCGCGGCTGGGGGAGCAGACAGGCAGCATGTAGCTCTGCTCCAGCGTCACGCCTTCGTCCACCAGGCGCTGCAGGGCGGGCGCTCGGATCAGAGGGTTGTGCCACGGCACGTCGTGGAAACCTGAGGGCAGCATGGGTAACTTTACTACCTCCCTGTGAGCTGTGGTGCCCCAATACAATGTGAAAAACTCCCATCCTCCTCAGCTATGATGTCCGACTACCACATGAAAATATCTCATCATCCCGAGATATTGTACAGTACCCGACTACCTTGCGTATCTATTCCATCTTCCCGAGTAATTGTAATCGCTTTCAACGCTCTAAATTCTTTCAAGTTTTTGTGTCGATGACAACTACTGGTGAAAGCGTTCAACGTGATTGGATATAAATTGGATATACATATACATAGATCAATCACATCCGTTTCTGTGTTAGCGGCTACGTATTGTCTACCCATGACATTAGTAATTTCAACTTTTTTCACTCTGAAGATACTCTAAGAAATAACTGAAAAAGATTCGTAAAAATTCCAGTTTCACTTGACCCACTTAAGCTACGACTGGTAAAAAATGTCTTGCAATGAATAAGTTTTTATCGTGCTGTGGTTCTGTTCGATGTGCCTCGATTCCTTGATCATTATTGCCTTGCTAGCGGTCAAAACCGAAATTTAAATTCTACCACGAGTATTGACTGAATGAATGTAACGCTTCCCAAAAGATTATAACTTCAGCACGAGAAGTTGCACTCGTTAACCATCTACCGCCGTATNCCCCAAAAGATTATAACTCCAGCACGAGAAGTTGCACTCGTTAACCATCGACCGCCGTATGTCACTCTCTGGCAACATAACTTTCAACTTAAATTATACGTAAACTATTGAATGTAACAACCATGATGACGTTTGTACGTAACAGAGAACATTTTAAAGATGTCGTCCGTGACGGCAACCATCAGTGCAAGTTATTTTACGCTCACTAGCAACGCATCCTCTTTGGATAGGGTTGTGTGACAATATTGCAGCTGTTACTCACGTCAGGCGGTAGAGGGTTAAGTGTTGTGTTAAGTTGCACCTACCCAAGTCATCAGCTAATATGTAGATGATGTGCGGCTTGGAATTCTGACGATCAGTTTCGGTTGTTGCCGACCACACCAGTGACAGCTGCGTGGTCATAACAGCTAGAATAATTACTAATGTACGAGACATGTCTATCTAACGATAGGAAATTATTAAAAAAATTACTAATCCTCTTATTATTCACGAATCGAAAGCTTTCAGTAGAAATACATTCGGTCGATCTGTAAAATGCCAACAGAAGAAAACAGATTTTTTTTGTAAAATCACATAACTTATGCACTGACTTGAAAGATATTTGGATTACTCGGAGGAAATGTAAACTCAGCGTTTACCACTTTGATAACACTTACAATTGTACCTTATCGATTGCTAATCTTCTTGAGAGGCAGCTAAATTATATGTAACTGAAAAAAATGTTGTTGAGAAGGGTTTTTAATCCGATTTAGAGGCTACAAGTAACCTGACAAAGCCAATGTTTTCGTCTCGTCAAACGATCATTCAATACCCAATTCAAAGTCACTAAAGGTTGTCTTTCAAATCATGTACAGATTACTTATGCAGAAGTATAGTTGTCTACATCCAAATATCTTAAAAACACAATGTGTTATTTTTTGCAAATTTTCATTATAGCAATTGTAAAACACAGTCTCACATGTGTGCACCGTTCAATTCAGGACTAATTCAGGTTTTGTGGGTAAAATGATTAATTATTAGGTTGAAGTTTCAGTTCGCGCCGCGAATTTGTGAGAGCCTGACTACACTCCTCTCTATAAACACATGAATTCTACCGAATAGCCATCGAGATTAACATCTGTACGCTGGTAAACATCTATTCAAACTCTATTCTTGCAAGCGGCATCTATTCAAACTCTATTCTTGCAAGCGGCACTTGATGCTCTACAGACAATACCGTCACAGTTACTGCTCTCGGTGTACCTGATCGACCTGCAGTTGACACACAAACCTTGCCAGTGTTTGGGAGTGCAGATCACGCCGGTGCGGCCTGGATGCAAGGAAAGTCCCAAGCCGAGCAACGGGACCAGCTAAATTAGGTGGAATGAGGCTCCTAGGTTTCGTAATATTTGAGGCCTCGTCTCATCGATCAGTTTAGGCACGATTTAATCAGATCGAGCTGTTCTATTGCTAAGAATAACTAAAATATTTAGAAATTGTAATGAAATATTACACATTCATTTAGCATGCACGCCAGGCAAATGTGAAATTGTAAAAATGATATTTTGCACAAAAATTATGAGCGAACAAATGTTTATAGATTAATTTAGGAGCGAGAAAGATATGTGTCGCGTAGATGAAGTATTCGTATGCTCGAACTCGATTAATATAGAACTCTTAATAGTGAATGCTTTCGTTCGTAATTAGAATAGAATTTAATGTACTTTTGGTGTTAGAGTTTACGGTGATTTTTTAAACTGAACTCAGGATCTAATCGTGGATATTCAACGTGAAAGTTATCTCGGATATTTATTCAGAAGAATTAAAGGAAATAAGTGCGAACAGTCATGGTGACGGAGCAGGTATGAAAGTATCGGAAACTCCATATCAAATAGCGACTTAATTAACCGATGAAACCTTATCTAAACTTACATTAGTCGTCTCTGAATCTGGATTAATATAGCCGTCTCTGGATAATTGCATAAGAAGGCCTCAGCAAGCTTTTCATCCGCATTTTGAGAAGAAACAATTTATAATTGATAGAAACTAACCTGAAATAGGGAAGACTAATCAATACCTGCTCTGAAGCAGTATCAGAATTTCCTTCAGAAACGACATCAAAAACGGCATCTGAACCCGTAACTAAACCGAATTTAACCTGACGAAGAGTGAACGTCTTGATTCATGGATCAGCCTGCACCAGAATCAGGGCTACATCCTCACCCTCTAGCTAATAATTACTCGCATTGGTCTCCTTAATTAGAGTAAATTTGATCTGTATTGATTAAAGGGCTGAGCAGCTGAACTGGATTGGATTCCATCGCCTCCCCAAACGTAGGGTCTGGTCCTTGATATCTTGTGTGAACCACTTCCGGAGCTGTTGTGTGAACCACTTCTATATCTGTCGAGTTAACCACGTTCATACATAGCTGATGAGCGAACCGCTTCCAGAGCTATTGAACCACATGTATAGTAATGGAGTGAACCAATTTTGTAACAATGGAGCTGCTTCAAGAGGAGAATGCTCATCACTGTTTGAATTATATAGACAACAGCGCTCTCAGTTCAGCTAATATTTTCATGTGTGGTGATATCGAAAGTAGCGGACGGTGATTAGGGCACATTCAATTTCTCTAAACATCTTTTTTTTCATATAATCATTAACTTCTCAATTGTACTCGTTGGAGTTTATCAAATGCTTTAATGTCTTTGATAATTGCATATTTTAATTAATTAGTCAACTGTTATGGTTTATTTTAAAATATAAATAATTCATATTTGAGTAATACAAGCATGAAGGTTTTAATGAATTTTTCAAGGACTAAAATCTTTTAAGCAACTTGCACAATTTTGAGCGTGCTTTCATAAATACCACATCAACAATAATGAGTTTACATGAAAATCATCAATAAAGTTTCGTGGGCCAAATTTAAAGACCAATTCATTGACTTTGGAAATGGGTAAATAACAGGCATTCAGTTGAAGGACAATTATAGTTTATTACGTATGTTGGATTTTATTCACTGTAACCTCCTAGAGCGTACAAATAAAATTAACATTAATCTAATTTTGAAATGAAGACATTCGGGAGCGGTCTAATTCAGTTAGTAGATACTGGTTAGAATTTCATTGCTATTCGACAATTATGGGCCTGCATCTAACTTTTCATCTCATTTATATATTTGAGTTATAATAACTATTTGCAGTGTTTTAGATGTTGTTCTATATGTTTGCCATAAGCTTGTATAGTGGCTTGTATTCATGAAGTTAGATAACATACATTATATAACGGAACGCATTCAGGCCTTAGAACGCAACGACCGTATACAGCCGTCAGTCGCTAGGACGCTGTGACCGTACAGCAGTCAGTCGCCAGGACGCTATGACCGTACAGCTGTCAGTCGCTAGGACGCTGTGACCGTACAGCAGTCAGTCGCTAGGACGCTGTGACCGTACCAACACACGACCAGGGGCGTGTGTTGTAACATACAGTATATTCAATTCGAATATTATAAAGTGTAACGTTTTCTAATGATAACATTGTATCGATATAACACAATTAACCATCGCTATTGAATTTATTGAGGCAGCTAGTCAAATTGCGTTCTATGATGAAGCTTTTCTTGTTTAGAATTAAACGAAATTAAATTCAACTGAATGCAGGTGAATGCTTTGGCAATTTTGACAGAGGAAGTTTGATTTTTTGACATTACCCTCGATGCGCTGGTGAGACATGGCGTAAGAGGGAAAATAGGAATTAAAAATTACACACTACAATCGAAGGTGGCAGTTCGGGTAAATTTGTAGCCTCTTTGAAGTAAAAATTGATAAAACAGGTTTAACAGCCTGAAAATGAATTAGATTACGATTGTTTTTCCAAATCTTCACAAGAAAAGTCGTTGAAATGCACGGCTGTGCAAATAGCTGAACTGCTATGTGTAAAGTTACATCGAGTTCGAGTTCTTTAAATAGTGAACAAAATGACGTTGTGAGACGGCTCTTGCAATTAGATATCATTTTATTGCAGTCATTGCTAAACAATCAACATTCATAAAATATGTTAGGAAATAGTTTGGAACACCTTTGATCTATACCAGAATAAATATAGAATAAGGTTATTTCATCTAACGTAAACAAAATGATGGAACGTGTATTATTATATGATACCATCTTAGAATATTTTTAAACAATATTTTATCTTTTTTGTATAGATACCATCTTTTGAATTTCAGTCTTCTTGCCCTCAACCACGCCACAGACCATAATTATGGTAAACATAGCCGAATTTGAATTAGATTTGTAGTATTTACATAAAACCTTGTCCTGCCTTCAAACACTTACTGAAGCTTTCCCAGGAGTAATGTAGAAAATAAAACAAAGTTAAACCTGCTGGAAATAGGAAACTAGCTGATTTCTACGCATATAGAACATTTGGCATAAAAAATATGATGCTTGCATCGGGCGCTCGCTACATGAGTTAAACTTTGAAAGACTTTGGCTACTTCAAAATTATGCTTGATAAAGTCTAGAATACATATGATGCAACAGCAATTAATTGTTAAAGAACATCAAACCTGAGATCCATTCTAAAACATTCGATAAAATTTTAACACATAAATGCATTAAAAATCATGTAATTTATACGCATGTCATCACGGCAGTGTAAGATATGGAAACTTCCCAGCAGACATCTGACATTGAAACAACGTTTATTGCAGCTTGATTTCAGATTGAAATGTTGATCAACCAAAATTATCTCATCTAGCAGTTGAAAGTATACTGATAGACGCCTATCTTAAATCATACTTAACTTTTATTACATAGCAAAAGTGTATGATCGGGTTGATAGAGAACTTCCGTGTCAAACAGTGGAAAAAATTGAGATACGTGAAAAATATGCAAAGCTCGTGAGAAATATGTATGCCAAAGCTAGAGCAAAAATATAGACTGGAAAAACGTGTGAAGGTTGAGTGAGTGGAGAGGTTGATAAGAGTGGGGCCTTTATGAGTAGAGGGTTGAGAGAGGGGAGGGTGGGAAGGCAAAGGAGACCGTACCGAATGTTTTAGTACATTCTTACTTTTTTTAAGATGTTTACATGTAAAACTGAATATTTCAGTCTTATAGGATTGTAGTGAATTGTATTGTAGGATTGTAGCAGCATGAATGACGGATCAAAAGATCTTGACCGGAGTTCAGCACGCACCCGATTCCATTACATAAAAATATTCGTGACATTATTTCATAAAATCATGTTTTAATCTCAATCATTTCGCTAGCTTATTTTTTGCTCCTCATTTTCATTTAATTATTCATGAGTTGTAATTTGGCCTCTTAGATCGTGGAGACTTTACACGAGCAGTGACATCATTCATCGTTGCATACTTCATTCGAGCCGATTTCTCACATTAATCTCCACGTATCAACGCTAATATACAATTGTTCATGTACTGGGAGAGGAAACATATACTGGCACGTACGTTTTCACGTCCTGTTATTTACATTGACTTAAATTATATTTTTCCTACTCCTAAACGTCTACTCAAAGCGTATTTTGAATGTCTGACTTTGCTATGACCATTTTGTCCAAGAATTGCCAATCGTATTGCATTTCTGCAACTTCCTATAACAACTTTTGACCGCTTGTAAGATCATTAGCTATCAAAAGGCGTCAAATCGGCTTCAAACTTTCAAAAATGCTAACCCTCATTTTATTCTGTTTGTTTTTAATTCTAAGCCCGGTCGGTTGAATAAAGTTAATAATAATTTGCCATGAGACAATAAAACAAACATTTAAACACTTGGATATAGGAACTGTTAATCTTTGTTAATCTTTGAAACATAATTTTCGAAACATTGTGTTCGGACGAAGTGAGTTTAATCCTAAAAATCCTTGCACAGAAGATTAATTGTAGGTTTTTAACTCCTCAGATATTTTCTATACATAGTAAACTTTTAATACAATTTCAGCACAAACAGCGTCAAAGATATCAGCAGGTATAAGCGTACCGAATTGAACGTTAGACTTCGCTTGCATACACACTAAATTATATATTTGGCCGTCAACAGAAGCCGTAAGGAAGCTGTTTAATATCTACATTATCCGAGCTATAATCCTTCAATAATCTTCCCATGCAACACCATCTCTCGTTGCACAGTCAAAAGGATGACGTTTGACGTCTACAATATACGAGCTATAATCGTTCAATAATCTTCTTCCCAACACCATCTCTCGCTGCACAATCAGAATGAAGACGTTTGACGTCTACACTATACGAGCTATAATCGTTCAATAATCTTCCTCCCACTATCCATCTCTCGCTGCACAATCAGAATGGTGACGTTTGACGTCTACACTATTCGAGCTATGAGCCTTCAATAATCGTCCTCCCACCATCTCTCGGTGCACAATCAAATGATGACTTTGACGTCTACACTATACGAGCTATAAGCCTTCGATAAACTTCCCAACACCATCTCCCGCAGAATTGTCAGAACGACGAACCTGATAGCTGGGTGTATATTTTTCTGCCTAAATGCTCACTACGAGGACTGCTTCTACACAAAGACCAACAACATTGATATGGACTGATGGAAGCTCCGGCAATACATACTAAATATTATGTACAAGTATCACTAGACGGTCAGAGTTAAGCAGTAGCAATTTGAGGCATTTATGATAACGCTTCATAGCGGCTGATCAATAAAGGGGAACTGCTGTTGACATATTATTACGAGCTCATTCTATTTGCTTTTTTATTTTTAAAGAATCTAGAAGAATTTGTTATACTTTAAAATTCTGTTAAGTCACTCCACAATTAGAGCAAAATATCGCACTTACGTGCATTGCAGATAAAAACTATATATTAAAATTTGACGAGTGGTATTTCAGTTAACAGGAGTTTTCGCTTTCAATCTTAAGATCTGGGAAACAATTTGAACTTTAAGTCAACAATTTGCAGTAAACATAAAAAATGGATATAAGTAATACGTTAATTATAATTTTTTACAAATTACAGATGCCACGCAATTTTTGACGTCATTTGTTGAAGGACATGCAAGTGATTGACATGTAATCCACAAGATCATAAACACCGCGAACATTGTAGAGGTTCTTCGCTCATAGGACCGACGTCTTTTTCTAGGTTGTTCCTCATGCTAGTTGACTCAATCTAGTGGTAAAATTTAGAACGTATAAATTATTTTTAATAATTTAGTTATTACACAATTTTCGAATTTAAGAAGATGTGCCTAAATATCCATAGTAATTCATACGATTCAACCACATTTTGAAAACACGCCGAGAGCAGAAAGGTTTATCCACTTCTAGGTCAAATATTTGCAAATAGCGAAATATTGCCACATAGAAATAGTGAATAATCATCATGTAAATGGCAAATTATTAATTGAAAAAAGTTTAAAAAACGTGTAATATTTTAAAATCTGATTTGTTATTTATTCCGTAAAATAGATAGATATCTAAACATCATCATTAAATTTGACTTTTAGACTAAACATGAAGCAATCATGGGTCAGTTATTCTGGATTGCGATTCCTAAATAGTTTCAATAACTCATTCAAATGACTTATTATTGTACAAGGTTGCTAGAAATACCATAAGGACTGCCATGGCTCTTGTCACATCACTGCTACAACAAGTGTTCCATGTTGTTGCACTGCCAGACCCGAAGAAGTTGAACACGTCGTACCCTTTAGGTTGTTCCACAAAACCGGGCTGGTGTTCACCTATTCTTGTATTTCTACCCTGATTTTCTAGATTTTCGTCTTCGAATACCCCTGTGTTGATCCCCTCAACTGGTATAATTTGTCTGCCACTTTCGTCGGTCGGGATGGGTAGGTCATCTGGACTGCTGAGTGCAAGGTTCTCTTTGCGCCGCAACTCGTCTTTGCTGATCTCGTTCTTGGGGGACGACATCTGCTTCGGGGGGCGGTGCTCCTGCTCCGGCTTCGGCGTCGCTGGCTTCGGGATCGCTGGAGTGAGAGAGACAACGAAATTAATGCCGGGATCGCTATAGTGATAGATACAAAGATAAATCGAAATCCGGTCAAATCGCCATACTACGTGCGTCTTCATGTATGTTTTACTTAGAGTAGCTGTCATACTTTCAAAACCAACTGAATTAAATTTTTATTTATACCCTCATTTTTGTTTTGTTTTTAGTTTGAAATATTTATTCAGATTATTATTATTTATAACAAATGTATTAGATTCTAACTGTTTAAATGTATTAATTCATTGCAAATGAAATTATAGATAACTATTTCTTATAAACACAGAGAATAAACATGACAAAAATGGTTCATAAATTAGGAAATCGCTTGTAGAGAATTAATTGGTCAAGGAAAGTTGCCACGATATTACACACTTAGGCATTTGCGATATGACTCCGCAATTAGAGCAGATTGTAAACTGGAAGAGAAATAAAAATAGAGTTAAATATCGGTGAAACTTACCTTCGAAATGCATGTTGAGTGAGTTACTGTATCGTCACTATATTGTACCGCGGAAGTCATTAACCATTGAGTGTTTAGGTGGCGTGACTAGAGCCGAGGTAGTTACTTACCATTGATGGTTATGATGGCTTCATTTAAGCCCAGGAGTTACTAACCATTGACGGTTATAGTTGCCTCACTGGAGCCAAGTGAGTTACTGGCAGCGCAAATGTAATTAGTGGCATCTTTCTTGGTGAAGTACATCAGGCCTACACTTCAGCGCCGACATCACTATGTTATGTTATGTTATGTTATAATACATACATTAGACATTTGCGATATGACTCCGCAATTAGAGCAGATTGTAAACTGGAAGAAAAATGAAATAGTGTTAAATATTGGTGAAACTTACCTTTGAAATGCATGTTGACTGAGTTACTGTATCGTCACAATATTGTGCCACAGAAGTTACTGAACATTGATGGTTATGGTCGTGCGACTAGAGCGAGGTAGTTATTAGGGCAACGTGGGGCAGCGCGCCCCCCACTTTTTTTAAACTAAATTTTTGATGAAGTTTTAAGTGATACGAGGTGGTTCTTTGTTTTGTTTAAAGGTGCAACTAATGGGGAATGTATGATGTGAATTAGACGCCTATAGAGTTATTCAATTTTTAATGAAACACTTTTTTGTAAAAAGTGTCAAAATGGGCCCATTGCCCCACCCCTGGGGCAATGGGCCCATGGGCTTGGGGCAAGAGTTACTAACCATTGACGGTTATAGTTGCCTCACTGGAGCCAAGTGAGTTACTGGCAGCGCAAATGTAATTAGTGGCATCTTTCTTGGTGAAGTTCCTGATGGTGAGCTGCATGATGGTGACGTAGTAGTCCTGGTGGCTCTCGGTCGCGTTGTACTTGTGGCTGCTGATGATCATCTGCTCGCCTGGACAGGGGGAGGGAGCGTTGTCTCTATTAACACACATGCACGACTCTACAGGCTCGAAATACGATAAAATATTTTACCCACATCCTAAGATTTCCATCCAACGAGACCATAATATTCTATCGCATGGAACATAGATCACTCCTTCAAAAGAGAAGTTAGATCATACCAAAACAATTCTCGTTATACTATCGAATACATTGTTTCAAGAGATAAGAGCAAGTTTATTAAGAGGCTTTTTTTATTATTGTATCGAACAAATTATTTTACGCGAGAAAGTAGGTTCATTAAAAAAAATTCTTTATTGGAACGAATACATTATTCTACGCAAGAAGAATTAGTTTATTTCCCGTGACTTTATCGAATAGATTTTTCTACACCAGAGAAGTTAGTTGATTAAGAGAAATTTTCTATTATTTATCGAATAGATTTTTGCCTGCTTCGTAAGTAGGACAACATAAATGCATTTTCAATCATTAGTTCGAACAATTTTTGTACGCAGGAGGAGCTAGTTCGTTTAGGAACGTTTTATGTCACCATATCGATCATTTTACTCTGCGCGAAAAAATCTAGTCCACTCAATAAATTATCTACCTTCACCTCGAGAATATTGCTCTACTTAAGAAGAGCTAGTTCCTTCAAGTAAATTTTAAACATTACTTCGAATATATCAGACTACGTGTGATGAACCAATCCATTCAATGACATTTTTGTAACGAAAAATTATCCTCTCATTATTGGGTCGAATATATTATTCAACGTGAGAGGACAAGCTCATTTAAAGTAATTTTTCATAATTAAAATACACCATTCTACGTGTGAAGGGTTGACATTGATAATTACAAGTCTGAGTTTTCATTCGTTTCTGAATTAGATGATTCACAGAGAACTGCAGCAAATGAACTTGAATCTCTACTAAACTCGAGGAAAAAAATTATTTTAAATCTGCGCAGTGTCTGTAATACTTTCAATTTATGTGTTCAGTCTGTTCTGAATTTGGTAATTAATCTTTAACTGCCGCAAATGAACTTGAATCTCTACCGAACTCTAAAAAAGTATAAAAGTCAACTAATTACTAAAGTCAGCGACGACCAAGCCTACAAACCTGTAATTATCACAGCTAGTGCGCAGTTCACTCAATGACAATTTTCATTTAAAGCAATTTTTCATCAATATGTTGAATATATTTTTGTACGCAGGATGGGCTCATTCATTCTTTAATAGACATTTTCATCGTTAAAACGAATAAATAACTTTACGCGAGAGTAGCTAGTGCATTTAAAGTAGTTTTTCATTAATTGATCGATACATAATTCTTTTATTTCACGCTAGAGAAGCTAATCCAGTTGAAAACATGTTTTGTTATTATATTGAATCCAATATTCTACGCAAGATGAGTTACTTCATTCAAAGACATTTTTCATTATTGTATCAAAGAAATTATTTTACACAACAGAAGTTGCTAATTCAAAGCTATTTCTCATTATTTTACAGAACCTTTATTTTTGTACGCCAGAAGAAGTAGTTCTCTCGTGGGTATTTTACATCATGAAATCGAACAATTTACTCCACGTGAGAAGAACTAGTTCACTCATAGGAGTTTTCCTGTATAATATCAAACATGTTACTCTACGTGATCGGAACTAGTTAAACGATCAAACATATTACTACTATACGCCATAGCAACTAGTTACCCTAATATCAGACATATTATTACTCTACGCGATAGGAACTAGTTACCCTAATATTAAACATATTACTATTCTACGCGATAGGAACTAGTTACCCTAATATCAGACATGTTGTTACTCTACGCGATAAGAACTAGTTACCCGGCACGCGGCGCCAGGTGGTGACGGCCTGCGGCGACGACTCGACGCGACACTTGACGGTCACGTCGTCGCCCTCAGGGAAGCTGAACATGTTGATGGGCAGCGTCACGAGCGGCTCGACTGTGCGGTGCGGGGGGGATAGCCGGATAGGGTTCTATTAATTATTAATCCAGGTTCTATTAATTAATAATAATAATTTCTGTTATAACTAAATGTGGCGAGGTAGGACGGATATTATTAATTTGTAATTTTTTTTAAGAAAAAAAGGAAGAATTTTAAGATAATTTCATCAGAATACTTTAATCGGGTCTGACAAATGACAGAAAGAATTTAAGACTAGTGTAAATCAGTCCTGCATGAATCGCTTTTAGCCCGAGGCTTATGAACATTTGTTGAAATGCGAAATTATTGACTAGGAAATGACGTAGTCAGCATATTATTCAGAATAATCGGAATTTTAGATTATAATTACAACTCTATGATCAAAGTAATAATAATAAATATCTCACAAGAACCTATAAACTCAACAAATGAACTTTTTTTCACATGAGTAACAAAAAATATTTTGAAAAAATATTTGTTTGAATTGATATCAGAAAGGTTTTAGTCAATCTATAACGACGTCTACGGAAAATATTTTTAATTCTAGGGAATTATTTTTCGAACCGATGCTTCAGGAGTGATTGACAATTTGCTATAAAATGTTTCCCTCTGCAGTGCGCGACAGCAATTCATGGCGGTGTATGAAGGTTGCTCAAAGTCCATCATGTCACAGATGAAGTTTTAAGTGATGGAAAGTAAAATCTTCAGAGACTGTTTCATTTAAAAAAAACTTAAATTCTGAAATGAAATGTCAATATCCTTAAATTGCAGTGAATTAATTTAATTTTTACATTAGAACCCCATTAAACAACAAGGCATTACAAGTTATGTGATATTACGTATTGAATTAAGTTGAAGAGACTTCGTGGAAAATTGTTAAGATCTATTTATAAATAGAATATGTTCGAAACAAGCTGCGAAAGCGTCGCAATTTGCTCCATGCTGCCATCCAGACGCTGCAAAAAGTGAGTAGAACTCGTAAAATTAAAGTAAATGGAAATTCTATGCAACCACTATAGTAAATGCTACAGAACACTAACTTCTAAGCCATTACGGTTGACGTTCAAACTGTGTGTTTTCACTATAAAAGACTTTGATTGTCCTAATTTGTAAAAGCTGACAAATTTCACGTTTTAAATCGAGTGACACATTTTTAAATATATGTGCGGATGCTTCTTCATTATTGGCTCTCAGGACATGAATGACGTAACATTAAAAAAGCGTGAGTGACTAACAGTTTACGCGGAGCATGATGCGCTTGCTGACGGAGGGCGGCACACCATTCTTGGCGATGCAGAGGTAGTGGCCCATGTTGTGCCGCGTCACGCGCGACATCGTCAGGTTCTCGCCCTTCTCCTGCACCTTGTCGCCTGGTCAACAATGTCACGGTTTTTTAGTAGAGTGGTGATGTTAAGTGACGATTGAGCTAAATCTAGCTTGTCGCCGATTCTCGACATCACAGTATTACACGGTTAACTGTGGCTCGTACCCCGCAACTCACTCTAACAATCTTGGTACTATGGACTTTTACTACTCAGCCACCTTTCCGTTAGGTTCTTACCACCTGATAGTAAAGCGCTATGCCATCTGTGATGTGTCAAGTGCCAAACTTAAGTAGTAATGAATGACCTGCTGAAAATAAAAGTTTTGGACTGGGCTTTTTGAGATAACAACCGCTTTTGACTCCCAATTTTCAGCCCAAAACGGACGAATGGAGTACATTATAGTTGTTTGTTAAGAAACTTCCCAAGATCTTAAAAATTACTGTGTGTGGCCTAATGGGTTGTGAAAACTTACGTAATACTTCTAAAATCTAAATAAAAATTAGATCTGGATTGCTTTGAAAATGCAAAGTGAATGCTCTTACACACGCTGCCCCCAAAGCACTGCACGTTTCGAGGCGCCCTCAGACGCGCTGCCCCCAAGAGGCGCCCTCACAAGCGCTGCCCCCAAGCACCCACGTTTAGAGGCGCCCTCACACGCGCTGCCCCCAAGCACCCACGTTTAGAGGCGCCCTCACACGCGCTGCCCCCAAGCACCCACGTTTAGAGGCGCCCTCACAAGCGCTGCCCCCAAAGCACCCACGTTTCGAGGCGCCTTCACACGCGCTGTCCCCAAATCACCCACGTTTCGAGGCGCCCTCCTTCTTCCAGTATATGGTGGGCGTGGGGTATCCGGTGGCCTTGCAGAAGAGGTGCACGTGACCGCCCTCCACCACCTCGGTCTCGCCGGAGCTCTCGTCGTCCACGATCTCAGGCGGCACCTGCACCTCCAGGAACCCCATCTGCCCACAGGCTAACATGATCAAGTTTGGTCCTCTAAAATAGCTTCAAAAATAACATAGCAAATTGGTGTAGTATTCAAATTTTAACTAATAAATTGCATATTGATAGATTATTTTAAAATAAAGCTATATTTTAGGGAAAAATCAAAGTAAAAGAATGCCATTAATGCTGCTATTTTACATCATTAAATATATTTCTGAATGGTCGATACAGAACATTGTACCTGCAGCCAACAGCTCATTCTATTATTATTCTAGGAACCATAAGGAATATTTTTTGGTGGCCATTTATAAAGCGTTTGATTTATAACCCTTCAAGCGAAAAAGATTCATACCGCAAAAATCTGGCACAAAAGGACCTCGCCTATTCAGGATCATGCGGCATGGAGCCATGAAGATGATATTCCATGGAGAGAAGCACAGCAGCCCCGTCCTAACATCAAGAGATGTCCGCCCTAATGTGGTCCTTCTGCTCGGACACAATTGCTAAATCCGCAATACCATTTCTAATTTTCTTTTATTGTCCCCAAGCAATGAAGTGAGCTTTTTGTTCCTTGAGAAGTGGCCGAGGCATGCCGCGCCCTGAGGTCTCCACGAGCTCCAAGCTTTCTTTGCTCCGTGGAAAATTTTGCTGAGTTTTTCTCGTTTCCACCAGACAAACTCAAGATTTCCAGAAATTCAGTGTAACTCAGGGTATGTGGTTAATGAAATTTATTGTCCTAAGTAAATTCCGTTCAAGAAAATGTGAAAGATTGGCGAAAGCAACATATTTGAAAAGAATAATGCCTCATTTTATGTGTGGTTGAACAAAGAGTGAGCATACTAGCTGAAGTAAATGTCAGTTATACGATGAAGAAGTTTAAGTTTATTGTAAACTGGTAACCATTTCCGGCTTCGGGCTCCTGTGACCACATAAATTACTAGCCATGCAAATTACAATCGTCGCCTGCACTACAACGCTCAATAAAATTCTAAGCGTTTCTGAAAACATGCAAAAATAAAGCACTTATACGCTGAGATTCTATCATGGACAAAATGACGGCAGGAGAGCTGATGCTCCCAAATAATTCCAGGCCATTTCCTGCTTTTTAAAACAACCAAGTTTCTCGAATTCGTGTCTTTCCTCACAGATATATATACGTGTCATTCATACAAAAATTGCAGTTTCTTTCTATTTCATGGTGTTACATTTTTGTTTGCAAGCATTTCGCTTGTAGAGCGAGTTGTGTGATTGTCTCTGCAAGTCCGAGCCTCGCGGCGTCGAGTCTGATGGCATTTGAAGCCCCCTCGTTTGCCAGTCATTTCCATGCAAATATGCGGTGCCAACAAATCTGTTCAAGACTAACTCAATTACTTAACTGGATTATTCAACGCACGAGACTAATTGCCATGAAGTCTACTCCATATTAGCGTTGTGGCAACAACAAACATGCGCTCGATTCCTCATGTTATGAATGTGCGGGACGCTGCTCCTCGTAAGTTGCTGGTCACTTATGACGAAATATCGACCAAAATATCGTTGTTATACTCTAACTGAATTATATATGCTATACTCTAACTGAATTATATATGTTGTACTTCAACTGAATTATATATGCTATACTCTAACTGAATTATATATGCTATACTACTCCAAATGAATTATAGATGTTATACTCCAACAGAATTGTAGCTGTTATACTCCAATTGATGTATATTTCTTATACTACAATTGAATTACAGATGATATAATCGACCAGGATTAAGGATGATATACTCAAACTGTATTATAGCTGCTCTATTCCAACTGGAGTATAGCTGTTATCCCCAACTGGAGTATAGCTGTTATACCCCAACTGAAGTACCTATAGCTGTTATACCCCAACTGAAGTATAGCTGTTATACCCCAACTGGAGTATAGCTGTTATGTCCTAACTGGAGAATAGCTGTTATGTTCCTAACTGGAGTATAGCTGTTATACCCCAACTGAGTTGTTGTGCTTCAATTGGCGGATGAGAGCAAAACTCCAACTGAAGTATTGCTATTAAACCACACATTTAGCATAGCTGATATAGTACTCCAAATGGAGGATTAATATTATGCTCCAACTGGAGCATGGCTGTTAAACTCCAAGTGGAGCATTGCTGCTATACTACAAACGTAGGATGGCTGTAAAATTTCAACTGTAAGATAACTGTTACGCAACAACTGCAGGAGTGTAACTGTTAGAATATAACTGTAGTAGCTGTTATATCTCAGCTGGGATATAGCTGTTATATAATACACTGCACACTGTGCGTTGTATGCACTGTTAAATAACATATTTTTAAGTTTTTCAACCCTATTTATTTTTCTCGCTCAATGGCCGTTTAAGTCGTACAGTGAATAAGACTACTGAAAGATAATTGTAGCATCATCAGGAGGTCATACTTGCATTTTCTTAAGCATTTTGATGACTCTTTATGTGTCATGTTTACATTTTAACAATAATTTCGGTAGTATCAGGTAAAATTGTGGGATGTCCAGTACAATTAAATTTTGCATGAAAAAGAAATCTAACTGAATTTCCAGCAGGGAACTCAAAATTACCGGAAAATATGAACGAAATTTCATTCATGCATATTTTATCACTTAAAATTTTCTTGCAGGGAGCCATCGTCGGCAAGCAAAGCACTGACATCTTGATTTAGCGCCGCAAGGTAAGTTCATTTATTGTTGTACAAAAATTTAATAGAAAATTATTAATCATTTGTATGTCTCCACATAATTGATAAACAATCAAGCGTTATCTCTGTAAGTTAAAATTTCAATGGTTTGAAAACTTTTTTATGGATACATCGGATTTATTGCGCTGTTCAAAATGTCAGATCCAAATCAGGCCCAATCTTACTAAACGATGTATGTATAATTCAATTCATTGGACTCCTCAAAAACGTATATTTCATGGAGTTAATTGCGAGTTTGATTTTTTACAGACGCGATTCAACTCTTAGATGCGATTTGATCTTTAAGCTTTCTTCTTAGCGTGGGCGAAGAAAATCCGGAAATAGGGCCGCCTCTCTTTCTTGCTGGCAATCGTTTGCGTCGGACGCGTTTTTGAGAGCGCGCTTCGCATCGTCTCATTTAATTTATACGACTTCTTCGGCTATCGTGTTCCTTGGCTCGTGAAACAAGAGCTTGCGCCCGAGAAGCGACCTAGGGCGCCTCGAGATCTAATTTGTCAGGAATCTCAATAAGTTCCGGTCAATTAGGCCAGGCGAAGCTTCGGTAAGACTTTACTAAAGTAGCTATTACAATGCAAAAGCTTTCAAGTAATTAAAACTGAGCAAAAAGTAGCGATCGCCATGCAAATGACCCCCTAGCGTAACCCGGGCCTCACACTTTATGGACGTTCCACGACCGACACACTTCGGTCTTTATGGGTAACGTCAAGCGCGAGTTATTGGATGACCAGTTGCTCGATGTTCTTACAGTAAATATGTGATAAACTAATAAAACCACGACGATTATCAACCAACTGTATGTAATATACGTGGACACTTAATCCAGCTTTAACTTTATAGAAAGTGTTCAGGCGCTGATTATTAATTATTAGTTAATTTCAGAGATAGCAGGAAAATAATTATGAGTTGTATAAGAATACTTGCTGACGAATTAAAAATTTCAGATACTTATTGTATGTTTATGAAGGCATTTTTTGTGTATTGAGTTATGACAAAGAACATTGAAAAATTAATTCTTCAATCTTCTCGTCAAATTAACACAGCATAATCATTTCCTTTCAGCTTGATTAATTTATCATGATAAATGGGTTTGAAACTCACGCGCAGAAGCTTACGCGGGTCGCCCTTGTTTACGCTGGTCGCTCTTGCTCTTGCGGGTCGTAAGACCGATGAGTGCGCAAATTTATAGTAAATTTGTTTACTAGGTCATACCGAAGCACCAACCCACCCTCGGTCAACGTAATCTGTAGTCGCTGTAGTTCGACCAATCTCTTAAACTTATCACTGATTACGATCATTCCTGGCCGGTGAGCCGACCTCGCTTGTATCACATCCGCGTGATGCATCGCATCCTAATCCAGTCTTCAGTTTATTCCTGGGTGCATAAATGTGTGCATTAAATCGCAAGCGGCGCCTGAAACGGTTTACGATAGGAGCGAGGTACGTAATTTCGCACCGAATGATAAGACGTGAGCATTTAAGAAGCGAAGCAGGGCGATGCAAGAAGAGCTACTTCATCATCGCAAACGATGGCAACGGCTTTACGATCGCCAAGGCTTCAAAAATGTCATAATTGACGTCTCGACGGGCTCTACTGATCCCCATATTGATTTGAGGAAGCGCAGTGATGCCAGTGGAAGGACGTTGGCCTCTGTTTGTGCCAGGCTTTGTTTTAGGCACGGGAATCGGAAAGCAGGCTGTGCAGCTCAGACGGAATAAATACCTTGAACCAAGACATTCTTCAATAGTATGAGAACTGGGAGCTATACAATGCGACATTTTTTCACTCTTTCCGTGCTTCTTCAAGTCCAAAAAGAATTTATTATAATTAGCCCCGTGATTTTGTATTCATAGCTTGTAATAATAGCCGGATGAGATTGTAAGGGTCAAGTTGATTAGGCATAGACTGAAGTGTAGAGTTTATGCAATTGAGCATAGTTACAAGAATGTCATTTCCAGGTTGGGAACGGGACCACTGCAAAATGCAATTTGCAGTAATGAGTGTCGACTTCCACTAATATTGAAATTCTGAAGGATACTTCAGCCAACTACAATTGCAATAATGCGTGTTGAATTACATTTGTCATGTTACATGAATTTAATATGATCCCTGTGTAATGTCATAATATTATAATAAAGACTCAATTTAAATTACAAGCCCTCATCCCATAAAATTGAAGCAGCTCGGCCTCCTCGCCATCCGTAACGCAGTAATGGTGGAAGTGATGCAAGTTGGTCTAAGGCGAGCAGAACGGTTCTCGGGTTTATAAGCAGGGCTGCCGCTGGTCTCATAATGAAATTGCTTAACTTGACACAATTAATGGGGTTAATATAGCGAGCTGAGGAGCGACATCTGGAGGCGTGCAGGTTAATTAATGATCGTCAGTAAGTGGCCATATTGTCTGGCACGACCCAACCTCAGAGTCGTCATGAGCAGATCAGAGCCTGTGGCAGCTGGAACTGAGACGCAGCCAAAGGCTACATTTGCGGTGATTATTGCAATCACAGTATCTTTTGTGTGGTCTGCCATACAGTATAGGAGTGGATATTAACCCGTTGCCATTAAGGCATTATATTAACTATGTCAAACTTCAATCTTGGATGTCGGATTTAATATAACCAAGTATGCAAGCATCCATAAAGTTCTATAATACTCTTTCAAGTATTGCCTCAAGAACTATCATTGTGCGAAACATCTGATCCATAATAATAAATGACAGGGCTCATTCGACTTGCACGAATAATGCGATTCTTCGGTTCCTTATTAATTATTATGCGGAGACCTTTGCCATGAAACTTTTACGGTTTAAAAGCTACTAAGGATTGTCTTATTCACCATTTAAAGCTACCGTCTTTACATACAACGCATTTTATGTCATGCTGAAATTTTCACCATACTCATTTGAACGTTACTTTTTACGTAGTTTAAAAGATTTAATGCCGAAACTTATGGTCCTAAGCGTCTATTTTAAAGTTTCACGGCGCGCCCGTGGTGATATCCAAGCCGCGAAATAGAACGGCCGTGCAGTTATCAGAGCAGCAACAGGCTATAGAGGGCTAAGGAGCCAGGGAGGCTTATCAGCCACGCCAGGCCTATAGACAGCCACCTTCAAAAATGAGCGCCCGCACAGAAATGAAAAACATTGGCGAGTTTTTAAAAACTTGAATTACCCGCTACACCAGAGTATCAAGAAGTGCAGTTTTTCATTGAGGAACTAGTAAGGCAAACCATTACCCTACCATCATTGAATTCGTCATATGTTAACCGACAGTCGCTAAAACGCATTTATTCTGAATATAACTAAATTTTAGCAAATTAACAAAATTCCTGACTTATTATTTCGAATTTGAAATTTTGACTTTTAGATTTTTTAGACGGACAGATCAGACGAAAAAGCTAGTTATAAATCGACTTTTCGAGCCATGTCTAATGGTCGCAATGAGCGAGTAATTATTATCTGTAGCCTTGATTATTCTCTACCTGAAAGGGAAACTGAATTAAAGTTAAGATATTATTTTCCCCTGCTTAAAAAAACTTTCACCTGCTTAAAACTAAAAAAGCAAAATGCTCAATCTCAGGGCATTTTGCATTTACAAAAATTCGCTGCACGTATTTGAGCCTCTTTCTCTTTCTTGTCTAGCTGAACTTTCTGAAAATGAGAACCGAAACCATTTCTTCCTAGGAAATATGTTCACGCTTGAGGTAAGAGCGGAATTTCGCGCTCTGCCAATGTAGAGGGCGGATTTGGAACCATCGTAGACCGGCCATCAATTCTACTTCGCAGGATCAGCTGAGGTCGAACGCAGGACAAATGCTGTCTCTTCCGTAAATTATAATCTCGGGACCGTCGCTAGATGTGTGCCTCATGTGACGGGACAACGCGGCTACACACACGGAGATTGTTTCTCTGTACACAAATTCTTTTAAAAACCCATAGCAGTTTCTGCGGTTTAACTGCTTGGTTGCAATCGAATTACTATCTAAAGGATAATTATATTATTTATGAAGTGAAATGGCATTTCGGTCAAAGATATATAAATAATTCGTTAACCAATACTGAACAAACTTTTGTTCTAACTCTAAAGATTATTAAGATCATCAACAAATACTGGAAGCAGACTATACTGCAGACCTTCTGAAGTGGACGGTAGTAGAAATCGGGTCTTGAGTTTCGTATCCAACCTTCACGGGCGCTGGCGTCTCGATCAAATGGATTTCGAGGAACGTTTCGGCGTAGCGGAAGCTGCGTTCGGAGAGCATTGCGATGTCTACAACAAAAGTTGTATTGCTTGGACGTGGCTTAGGGAAGGTGTGCAGGATTAGGCTCCATCAGCGACAGCAGCGTCGCGTAAAGCTGCAAATCTTGCAGTGTTACAATGGGTCGGGGCTGGAAGCTGCGAAAGCTGCGAATGTTGCCGCTTTTTCCTGGCGATGAGTTGCGGCTTAGGGCCCATAAGGTAAAAATCAGGCCGTATCAATGTTGCCCAATTTCTTCCGTTAGGTGGCCTCTTGCACAATAAATTTTGATCGTGTTATCAAACGTCATTTGAACTGCCCACAATGCTATATATACGAACGCTATATCCGAGTTTATTTGCAATTTTCATACGGACTTGTAGCACTTTTGTAAGACTGTTAAATACACGTACGAAGCAGAATAGAGTTTAATTGGATATAAAATTAAGATATAACGAAGTTTTAACAAATTTTCGTTCGAAAGTTGATTGCAGGGAGACGTTCTATGACGTTATTTGTCAGGTATGCATGACTTTATGCAATTTTTGTTGGAACGCAATAGTGGTTAGAGAGCGACAGTCGTTAGATAACAGACAATTCGAATGACAATGGCAAGCTTTCAACTTCTCGCGATATGAAGTAATATGATACGTCACTGCTTCAGTTCCATTAAAAACAACAAAAAAAGTTGTACTTCCCAAAATGTAATTGAAGAGAGAACAAGTATGGTGGAGAACGTTGAAGTTCGTTATTTTCTTCATTTGCTCAGGTTAGTGAAGAAAGCGCAAATTGCGGTAAGGAGAGCGGGAGTTGCCGGGAGCGTCAGATTTGCATTTGAGGAGCGGCCGCGGTCGCGTTATCAGCGTCGCCGGGTCGCTCTAACTTATTAGTCGAGCGGGCGTTTTTTAGCCTAACTAATGAGCTATAATCTGCAGGCCGCAGCTTGGAGCACCCGGCGCCTCAGGCAAAACTTGTGCCCCCCAAAAATGCGCGGCGCTTCATACTTCGTGCGAGCAGAAGTTGCCTGCAGAGTGCACAACTTTGTTGAGGTGAGTTAACCTAATATGATAGTCACCTGCAAAATTTCTTTTGTCACCTCGGAGCCTCAAAATTTGGTGCGATTTTTCAGAGAGACAATATGTTGCATAACTTGTGCCGCTCATGACTTGTGCCTCACTGGAGATACTTCAACAGACACGATGTCAACTGACAAAGGGAAGGGAACATTTACACTTCTGGTAAGTTTACGGCTTTGAGATTCCTTTCTTGGGCGGTTTAAACATTGTTTTCTTTTTGAGACCAGGCCACTACGGGCTCCGTTAAATGGTGTTAATGCTCCGGGCTGCCGTTTCGAGTAAATCCTGATTTGGTCTGTAGGTGATTTTTACGCGTATTGAATGCTTTCTATTATTTGCCACAAAAGATATTCCGATTTCAATAAAAGTACTTAATTATGTCACTCATTCCATGTATTAGAATTATAGCCAAGCCGGAAACAAGGGGTGCGCAACCAGACCATACAAGAGTACGCGTGCGTCATTAGAGAGCATAATTTAATCGCAAAACTTTGATAAAACCTTTACCATACTCCAAATCCATAAATTTGGAGTATGGAGTATCCATACTCCACGGATTGGAGTATCCATACTCCAAATCCGTAGATTTTTCACGTTTATTATAAATTCAGAGCCAGATCCGAAGCAAAAATGTCAAAAACTGTTAATTTGAAAAAATTTCGAAATGCTCAAATATTTCCGCAATTATATTTGTATTGCTCGATAAACTGCAATTTGTCGGGCCCGTAGCAAAGCCTATAGTATGAAGGCACATCTTGCAGAGTAATTAAAGCGACCACATTGGAGCGCTGTATGGCATTGAAGAGCGTCTCAGCATCGCTGCTCCTCGTAAAGCCGAAACGTTTACGACCGCCTGTTCTTAATCTGATTGCCTTCGTTAAAAACGCGAGACGGTGAGGGGGCTTCAGCGCCCCACCTCATGAGAGCCGCGCTGTATTTATTCAACTAAAGCCTGGCAAGCAAATTGAATGCGCTCGCTCCGCAATTTTTGCGTGTGGTTGAGTTCTGAAGCCGTTAGATATCGTCGTATTTCGCGGGAATTACTGCACTGTAAAATATGGAGAGTCTCACCGGCAGTCGTTGGAGGTTTAATGTGCCACGCAAAGTGTCGGGTCACCCCAGAAAACTTTTGTTTGTGCTTTTTAATCTTTAAAAAGAGCCTGCAATACTAGATGCGTCAACAAAATAATGACGCCTCGAGCTGAAGGAAAACAGCGCGGCGAATCGCTGGAAATGTCCTCGAAAGATTCAAAAGAGACGATCAAAGCGGGAGGGATTGAGCAAATGTGGGCACGGCAACGGTTGCTTTCTCTGCAACCTTTACGGGGCGGTAGTCCTCAGGGGGGCTTATGTCAAAAAACAAGGCAAGGCTGCGCCGTGCTGGATTTTCAGGCCTTTGTAGGTATCCACATTACAAACAGTTTAACATATAATACTCAGCGCAAATGTTCCTTTGGAGACAATATTGTACATATTAGCGACGCGAAAGAATAAATATCGTCCTTATTCAATGATTTCTTTACTAGTTACATTTTACTCGCTTTGCAATACTGATTATTTAAATTGCAGCAATCGCAGAAATAAAGCCTTGCCCCTGTCATTTGGAAAATATTGATCATTGTTTTGCAAGAGCACATGACGCGAGACTTAAAATTATTTAAAGTTCTGAAGAGTAAAATACTTTACATGCAGTTCCAGCAGTACCAAACACAGAACGATTATTGGCATAATCGTTTGTTTTACGCACATGCAGCAGATATTTAACGAAAAATTTGAAAGACATTACCTGGTGCCTCGACAAAAGAAGTGGCAGCACTTCATGCGATATTCGCTATCGTTCCATATTTTAACACGAGACTAGCCGGAGTAATAAAAGATTGAAAGTAATCGCAATGAAGAATGTGCAGAAGGAATGTGTTCAGCAAATAGCGAATATACTGTCAGACCAGACATGTTTGTCCCCTCAAATCAGGCCAATTCATTTGCCAGTTAAGAGCTGATGCCATTAAGTCTCCCCCTGTGTGGCAATAATTGGTCATTAAAGCCATCCCAGTCGCCACCCCGCCCATTCTATGACCAGCCTGGCGGAGAATCGATCCAGTAGCTCAGAAACGCTTAGTGGCGTCTGCAAGTGAACGTTCAAAATTCACCGCACCAGCAGCACGACCATCGGTCACGGTCGTCGGTCTGGACGTTCCTGATGTGCAGGTTCCAGGTGGTGTGGTCGCGGTAGGTCACTGACACACGCGGGTTGTGCGTCACAACTTGGTGGTGGATCGCTTGTATAGCTTTTGTGTCCGCCTTCACCCACCCGACCTGACGGACAAGGTAAATTTGTTTTGATTAAAATAAGTTGGTGAAAATTACGAGCTAAAACAAATAATGGTTTAGTTTTTATCGCACGAAGCAAATCATTAGTTGTTTATTCGTTTTAATGAAGTGGCTTTTGAAGCGTCTGCGGCTGCAACTGCTCGAACATGAAAATAATTTTTGAGAAACAGGATTGAAATCAGGAATCGAACTTTTTCAGGATTGAAATCGAACTTGTTTTTAGTTTTGAACTCTTTCTTATTTTTTTCGATTTTCTTTCCGTCTTCTCGAAAAGATTCAACTAGTATCTCAATTTAGTAGTCAGAGGTTTTTGGATCATCATAACAAATAACGCGTTTTCGGACAAAATTGTACCCAAAAACCGATAATGACACTCATAATATCTACACGACGGTCGCCATCCTTGGGCTTTGGAGAAAGCCTTCATATTATCGGGGACCAGACTCTTACATGCGAACAAGATTATATATGACGATCATTTTCATGTTCCAGCCTCAGGCAAATTATGATCATAAATCGCAACAGATTTCATACGATTCTTTACTCAACCGTCTCAAAAATATCGGAGGTTTGGCCATGCTCTTCCAAAAAAAACTTTTATTAAAAGATTTCGCTGCCATTTGTAATTTTGTGGAACTCAATCATAAAAAACGATTTTGTGTGTGGAGAAGTTCATTGGGTTTACAATATTTTTCTCCCTAAATTATGTTTTTAGAATCTGCACTATATTAAGTTTCTTAGCAAAATGGCACAAAATATTGGACGTGCCGCGACCACCGCGGTCTCGTTTATTTAGCCGGCAGTACGGAGAGGTAAGCAAGGCATCACTTGAGTGTCATAACCAATAATAAGACATGAGGCTCGGTGCAGCTGCAGGCCTCTACAGCAGCTCAATATCTCATTGCTCTGATCCACTGCGCCTCGAGGTTATCGACTTGTTGCGCCAACCCAGGGCGCACCGAGCTAAACGAACAGCGTCCTTAGCGATAATATAATAAGTCAGGGAAATTACAATACTTGAGCTAAAAATGTAGTTGGCTTTTTAGAATAAGCACTAAGTAATAATGAGTCAATATCCAAAAGAAATTCCGTACAACAGAGTGACACTATATTATTGCATTCCTCGAGCTCGCGTATCCGATGGTCTACCCGCGTTGAGGTTACGGCATAGAAATAGCACTTGGTAAAAATATGAGCACTTGGTAAAATTGTTATACACCATATTTAGAAATGTCTGACGAGCTTTCGTTTACAAATAAAGATGAATAGCTATTCTCTTCCTTGTGAAAATCCTAACAATGTTACCATTCCAGAGGCTATTTTCTTCAAACTCGCGTTATGTGCAAATGCACGAGTCGAGAAGAACCTTTTTTATTTATCATAGGTTCATGCGCGCTGACCCAAGCAGTCGATGGCATGATGTTTCATTAAAGACATTGCTGCCAGCCGTGATCCTGAACTTGTATCAATATGCGTATTTCCGACTTCGCTGCTTGGTTCCACCAAACATAAATACTGTACCCCATGCTAACTCTGCGCAAAAATGTTGTGATCTTTCAATCTTGATATGGTCAGTCTGGATTCAGAGGCGTGCAATCAAAAGGAATCCCCGAACAAGGTAATGCTGGTCCGCCACACAGGCTCGTCCCGGAAGGCAGTTTGTTTGCACCCAGCGAGCCACTTAAAGCGATGTCTCGACAAGCCAGCGATGTTTGCGTATCTTGTTTGCCTTTATTAAGAACTCTCATAGAGCGGCGGCGGTTTTCTTACTTTTATAATTGGAGGCTGGCTGACCAAATTGCCTCGACGTGCCTCCCGCAGCCGCTGTGGTGGGCCTCTAGCTCCGCAGCCTTTACATTAGAACAGGACTGTTGCTGTTTGGGCTTCATATCAAATTCGATCATGCAACTGAATATAAGAGATAGTAAATTGCCCCAATATGGAATAATGTTTATATTAATAATTATAAAATATAAATTAGTACAAGGCCTTCGTGTGGCCTCTAATTTAAAAAAAACTGATCAAAGCAAAGAAAATGTTACGTAAGGTGTTGTGTTATTAAAATAACATTTATTTGCATCATTACTGATTCACAATGTTATTGCCCTTGCCAACTGAGAAAAAAAAATTCCTCTTAACCGCCGTTGAAAATTTTCACACAATTTTCCTCACTCAAATCGTTGAATGTCAAAATCAAATTTCAGGGCCCTGTTCATTGACATGAAACCATTCCATGTTTTTAATTAATAAAATCAATTCTTTTTTTTTTGTTGGAATGGTGAGTGTGGGAGGCCTTTAAAAAAAATTGCAGAATCCAATTGTTTTTTCGTATAGTTCTGCTCATTCGAAGTAAAATACTGCACTTGTTCAGCAGAGCGATTATAAGCATCCGTGCATAGAGTTGAATGTAAATAGAATTTTTTTCATTTACTAACGAAAACAAACGGAAAATCTGAATAGAAAATATTTTAGTTGTTTGCTGGAGTCATTAATGAAGAGTCTGCTTCATGGCCAACTCTAGGAACAGATAAAACTCGCATTATTTCAGCGCTATTATAAAATGTGATGCGAGTCCTGGGAACAAGAAAATAATTTCCAGTAAAACTTGCGTTGAAAAATCTTGATTTAAAGCGGCTGTTGAGGCCTTCAAATTAAGAGGCGCACAAAAGAGGCCCGAGCGAGCGGTGTTTGTTGCGCAAATGACGGACTTTTGAGGCGCTGGCGGGAGGCTGGAGCCTCACAAAGGTGGCTAAGAGGCTTACACACTGAGGGTATGAGCAAGATGTCGTCTGCAGCTAAAGGGATGTAACATGTAGCCTGAGAGACGTAGCTCGTAGCCCCAGGAATGTATCTTGCTGCCGGAGTGGTGTATCTGAGGAGTGTGGTTTGCAGCCTTATGACGCATGTTGATGATGAGATAAGCACATCACTGATGGTCTGGATTCTAGAATATACATGGCAGGTGTGAAGATTAAAGATAGAAAATGTGTAACCTTTAGTCTAGACTCTAGAGGAACCGCAGCCGATAATTACCGAATATAGCATGACGTCAGGGTGAAATGCCCATAGCTATCAAAGGCCTCGTTATAATATTATCATATTATATTTGCTATTGCTTGCTACCTACCGACATGGTAGCAAGTGAGTAAATCAAGTAAATGAATTGAAAAACTTCTGATATTATTTTCTGTGAAAACTTCACAAGATTCCACTGACGCGCCGAAACACATTTGATTTTGTATTTTAAAATGGAGTTTTTGACAAGAGTTTGCAGCGAGATGTTGTTGCGTGTAAGGAGAGGAAGAGTCGAGGCTTTTTAACTTAGCAAGCGATCAGCCTGGACTTAGAGAGTTACGGCGGCGCTCTACACAATAAGATCGCCCGCCGGAACTCCCTTGGTCGCCATCCACTCTCGCTAACAAAACATATTTGTCATTCCTGTTCGACGTGAATCAATTCCTTAAGTTAAGTTTGTAAATATTATGCATACTATTTAAAGGTTAAATTGACAGCTTCCAAATGTTCGTTAGCTTTATGTTTCGAAAGTAAATTGGTAATGATGAACCTCAACGGTAAGTTAAGTAGACCCCATTGAGAAGCACCACTCGGTACAGTCTACTAATGCTATTGCTACGAGCTTCAGCGGGGCTTATTGAGAAGCAGTGCGCCCTGCTAATGCTATTGCTACGAGCGTCTGCAGGGCTGAGGCTCGAGATGAGGTGTGGCCTGCTAATGCTATTGCTACGAGCGTCTGCAGGGCTGAGGCTCGAGATGAGGTGTGGCCCTGTCTCTTATACACATCTAGATGTGTATAAGAGACAGCCTTANCCAACTGTTACAACTGCAGCTCTTGTTGCTGCTCCAACTGTTACAACTGCAGCTCTTGTTGCTGCTCCAACTGTTACAACTGCAGCTCTTGTTGCTGCTCCAACTGTTACAACTGCAGCTCTTGTTGCTGCTCCAACTGTTACAACTGCAGCTCTTGTTGCTGCTCCAACTGTTACAACTGCAGCTCTTGTTGCTGCTCCAACTGTTACAACTGCAGCTCTTTTTGCTGCTCCAACTGCTGTTACAACTGCAGCTCATATTGCAGCTCCAAATGTTACAACTACAGCTCATGCTGCTGCTCCAACTGCTGTTACAACTGCAGCTCTTGTTGATGCTCCAACAGCTGTTACAAATTTAGCTCAAATTGGTTATAGAACTGCTGTTACAATTAATTGCAATAACAATCTTGAACTGCTTTTATAACTATTGTTAAAGTGCTGCTAACTAAAATACTCATCAGTGTTATAACTGCTGTTCAAACTGCTATTATAATTGATATTGTAAGTGTTCGGGATACTGCCTCTACTACTACCGTTGAAATATTGCAAGAATTACTACCTTTAATCCATGTAGAAACTCCTTCTCTACGTTGTGCTTCAAAATTGCTGTTAGTAACACTAAAACATTCAAAGCTGCGATATCCGCTGCAGTTCCATCACATCGAGGCTGTCGCGACTGCTGTAATTAAGCTATGGAACTAAGGTCCAAGTGAAGCCCTACATGTGTTGCATGTATAATTACTGTACAGGATGGAGTCCTGCATTTGCTCCTTAACCTCAGTGGCAATTGAGTATCTCAGTTATCGACAGATCATTAATGTTGCTACGTGTTAACTACAACACGAGACATCCAAAGTACAATCATTACTTTGAGGTGGTAGACTGCTGAACGGAATATGCACGCCAAGATATTGTCTCTGATGCTTGGAGGTTTTAGAGCTTCTTCCTGCCAAATTGTGTAAATTCAGAAATTGAACTTCGTGGGGTTTCGGCAAAACAAATATATAATTGATAAACATTATTTTCAGCTATTTGAAATAGGTAATTTTGGATGTCTCATAATCTTTATTAGTAGAAATTGTATTTGATGGCTGATCGAGAATGTGTACGAAACAACGTTGAGGTAATTTCTCATGCGTATAAAGCACAAACCAGTCG